CACTACAACTCTTACTACTGGACTACGTTAGAACACCTAGAACTACGTTAGGACTACTGGGCTACACTACAACTCTTACTACTGGACTACGTTACAACACCTTGAACTACGTTAGGACTACTGGGCTACACTACAACTCTTACTACTGGACTACGTTAGAACACCTAGAACTACGTTAGGACTACTGGGCTACACTACAACTCTTACTACTGGACTACGTTACAACACCTTGAACTACGTTAGGACTACTGGGCTACACTACAACTCTTACTACTGGACTACGTTAGAACACCTAGAACTACGTTAGGACTACTGGGCTACACTACAACTCTTACTACTGGACTACGTTACAACACCTTGAACTACGTTAGGACTACTGGGCTACACTACAACTCTTACTACTGGACTACGTTAGAACACCTAGAACTACGTTAGGACTACTGGGCTACACTACAACTCTTACTACTGGACTACGTTACAACACCTTGAACTACGTTAGGACTACTGGGCTACACTACAACTCTTACTACTGGACTACGTTAGAACACCTAGAACTACGTTAGGACTACTGGGCTACACTACAACTCTTACTACTGGACTACGTTAGAACACCTAGAACTACGTTAGGACTACTGGGCTACACTACAACTAGGATATTACATATTACTACTAATAACAATATATTTATTTTGTATATATTTATAACTAAAAATGTCTATTATAAATCCACTGTGAACTCATAGTAGGAAGCTGAAGAAAGAATAATACAAAATATAATTACATATCGATTGAAATCTTGAACCCTCCAGACCAAAAAATGAACTTCATTATTTACTACCAAATAAAAAGGACTATTGATTTAATACTCAAAAACATACTCAATAAACACACACAACTTACACAAATACAATCACACAAAACTTACACAAATACAATCATACACAACTTGCACAAATACAATCACACATAACTTGTACAAATACAATTACGCACACCTTGCACAAATACAATCACACATAAAGTATTAACTATGCATTCCGAAAGGGAAACTATGAAACTATGATCCAATCTAAGAGATAAGAAAATTCCTAACAGATGCTAAATTTATGCAAATTTACTATCCTACCGGAATTTATCTCAACAGAAGCTAAATCTAATTAAATCTAGTCAAATTTAATTCAGTCAATCCCAATTTAACCTATTTTACTCTTAATTTATCCCGACCTGCCTAAATTTACCATAACCTAACCTACGTTAACCTAACTGAACGTATAATATCATACCCACAGCTAAACCGAATAAAATTTGACCTATTTTACCTAGAACCTGACCCAATCTATGCATTTCAACCTACTCAATGTTAACCTGTCCCAACCTATGTTAACTTAAGTTAACGAATAACGTCTAATCCAAAGTTAGCTAAATTTATCCTATTCCAGCAGAATTGTGCGTAATTTAGCCTACCCAATTATATCCTAACATAATTTATCTCCCTACATCCTCACCCATTCAAGATCTCACATACTTATAGATAATGCAAATTATTTCTTTAATTTACATCCATTGCCTCACATCCCAACCTACAAGCTTGCCTACAATCTCATATACCCAGTAAACGCACAATCTCATCCTATGTTGTGTTAAAATCAAAGAAAATTTTAATTTACAGCCATTTTCCACAAATAATATCCTACACACCCATCACAACACCCCCTATATATTTATATATTTCCTATCTGCCAAGATATCTGAGCCCATCCACACCTGAATATCGCACAAATCTAATAACTTGAGGGTATAAATCATTTTCGTCAGAAATCATCCGACATACCCGTTGTTGTACATTAACTTAGCCTTTAATACCTGAGCCAATGCTCAATTTGTGCAACTATATTCGAGGGGAAAATGTTGTAGTTCTTGGATTTCCACTCAAGTCACCGGGACCTAACCTAACCTCTGATACAAAATGATGTTGGTTCAATATTGCATCATATTCTTAGGAAAGTGTTGTTGTTAGAAATTTGCCTTACATGAACCTAATCATCTTTGACTTAACCTCCAACACGTGGATCTAAAGCATAATATTCATCATTTTTTTATAAATGTGTTGACATTAGGAAAATTACCAATAACAACGCATTTCTAGAAAGCAGCCCATAACAGCTGTCTAACTCCCAGGTACCTATTTACTGCTAGGTAACAGGAGCATTAGGGTGAAAGAAACTGCCCATTGTTTCTCGCTGGGGCCGGGAACCGAACCCCGGACTATAGGATTAAGTGACCGGTGTGCTGTCCACTTAGTCACCGGCCCCTCTATATAGGTGGAAATATATATGTAGTAGCATCTATGGGCCAATAAGCCTTCTGTGATGTTCTTTATTTTCATATATGAGCTAGATGGATATTAATAAAAAGATATATGCGATTGAGGTTGATTGGATATAAACAGGATTTAAATAACCTCTTCAAGTAGGTACTACTGATGCTACTACTAGTACTAATACTACTTTGCCTGTTTCTACTGGTGATACTACTGCCACTATTAATGTTACGTCTAAATATCACTACTACTCCGAAATAGTACTGTTACTACTGCTGAGAGAGAAAATCAATTGGAACAATTAGGTAACTCGAACCAGAGATCACGGAATTCCCAGCCGCGCACCCAACTCCAATTGATTTTGTCATTGATATATATATCACATAAGTGTGTCTTCTTTGGTCTACTACTACTACTACTTTTGCTACTACAGAACCAATAGTAGAGTACTACCACCACGTACTGTCCCTACTGTTACGGCAAGTACAAGTGCTCTCGCAACAAACATTACTACATCTACAGTTACCTCTACTGCTTCTCCTGCTGGTATTCTGAGGTGTACTTCCTGCCTGGCGCCCTTGGCAGCCTAGCCTTCCTGCGACTCTCACTCTCGCCTTACGATTCTTACGGCTGGCTACGTACATGACTCACAGCTAAGACTTTGTAACACACTATAATTAATGTCTTGTGTTGATGGGGTGCAGAATAAATATATTAATCCGAAATTGTATTTGTTGTATAAACTATGTTTCGTTTAATTGATAATCTATGCTACTTCCACTACTGCTGTCACTTGCGAGCGTAGGGAATAAAGTGTGAACACAGGGATTCAGAGCTGTGCTTGACCAAGGAGAGAGAAAGGGCGAAGTGCGCACGAACACAAGTTTGATGGGTTAAACACCTGTTCCTCACACACACACACACACGCACGCACTCACGCACACAAGGGAATTGATAGGGTAGATAAAGACAGGTTATTTAACACAAGGGGCACACGCACTAGGGGACACAGGTGGAAACTGAGCGCCCAAATGAGCCACAGAGATATTAGAAAGAACTTTTTAAGTGTCAGAGTGGTTGACAAATGGAATTAGGTGATGTGGTGGAGGCTGACTCCATACACAGTTTCAAGTGTAGATATGATAGATCCCAATAGGCTCAGGAATCTGTACGCCTGTTGATTGACGGTTGAGAGGCGGGACCAAAGAGCCAGAGCTCAACCCCCGCAAACACAACTAGGTGAGTACACAAGCACACTCCAAGCACAAACCCTCCCTTCCCCCTACACAATGTCCACCATACTACCCAAATTCTCCCTTCCCCCTCACCCCCATGCCCTCCTTCCTCCCTCCCCTGGTCTTCTTCCTGCCCCAAGTCCAGGCAAGATCTAAGCCCTCCATCCCCCACCTCCCTCCAAGCCCCTGGTAACTACCCCAACAGGAGGATGCGCCTACCCAAGTAGCCCTACCCATGGAACGGCTTCCTACACCAGTGGAGAGTGGGTGAAAGTGAGGATATGTATTTCCTGTGGATATAGGAAAGTGAGCTTTAAGTTATTGTACTCAAACATCGATGGGATTACAAATAAAGCAAATGAACTGGCAGAAAGGGTGCAGTAAGAAAACCCAGATCTAATAGGAATCACAGAAACAAAATTGTCAGGCATCATAACAAACACTGTTTCCACAGGACTACTATATAGTAAAGAAAGAGAGGGAAGGGGGAGGAGGAGGAGGAGTGACTGCTGATAAGGAAGGACTGGAGTCTTGAAGAAATGGAAATTCCGGGCTGTGAATGATTCAGAGACTACATAACAGGAACTATGACTATGAATGGACCTAAGATAAATAGTGGCAGTCATTTACAACCCTCCACTAAATGACAGAAGACCCATACAGGCGTTCAATAGGAACAACATGGCAACCATTAATATAACAGAGAGAACAGCTTCAATTGCCGGCAGGAATGGATCCAGACTTAATAGTGATGATAGGCTTTGGGTAATTTGCAGTGGTTGAACCCCATATACAGATACCGTATGTAAGATAGGAATAGATTAGTGCATCGAATAATGAGAGGGAGAGCAGATTGGAGAACATAATATCTAATTTTAGAAAGTATACAGACCGTTTTTTGAGACTTTTCTTGTGATATGAATCTAAAACAACTACAGTAAACAACAGCTGAACCCCGCAAGCACAACTAGGTGAGTACCGACACACAGGAAGCGCACATCCCCCGCTGGTCTAGCGAGCCTTGGAAGAGCCAGAAATAAACCTGCCTATGTTTTACTATTCTACACAGCCAAATGTCGACGCTGTAATTTAATGTGAATTCTTTAGATAAGTCCTACTTTATATTATAATTTCAGTGCGTTAAAATAATGCATGTTAGTTTGAAATATGTTTAGTGATTGGTTAAGTTGGGATGAGCAAGCTAGTCACTATACTGTGACAGAGCAGCACTAACTTAACTAACATTCAAAATTGGTTAGCTGAGGCTGGGACATATAATATATTAGAGCAACAGAGTAGGATATTCCAAGCTACATGCCAAGCTTTACACTGGTTGATGAAGATGAAGATGACAGGCGGGACCAAAGAGCCAAAGCTCAACCCCCGCAAGCACAATTAGGTGAGTACTGGTCAGTGTGAACTAAAGGAACAAAATATACATTATAAAAAACATTCTGAGAGTTTAATAAGACAAAAAACTTAAATGTTAACAATCGCCTTAAGTCTTTCAAATGTCAGCGTGTGTTGTTAATATCAAGATGAGGTCATGTTTACTGAGGGCGGTATACGATATGTCGGCCCGGTCGCTGGCCCCGGCACCCTCCTCACCATACTTCTGTGATATAATTGTCACACGATTACCCTATATCACCGCTCCTGTGCCAGGTAAATCCACACACAGCACCGCTCCTGTGCCAGGTAGGTTACGGGCTCACTATAGCCCGTGCTACTTGGAACTTTTGTTCAGAGTAGCTGAATATAAAACAACATAGCCCTTTACGGGCTACTCATGCCCGTGCCACCTCTTGGATGGCTTGATCTTCATCAATCAACCTTCATAGCCGGATAACCTGCTTCTTCACTACCACCTTCGCCACTCATATGTACGTCACGGCGAAGATAATTCAAGAACCGACAGACCTGCTGAGCGTCTATCAACTCTGTGCATAGTGTCCGTAGTATGTACATAAGCTACGGTATCTGTGCATGGAGTTCAACCACTGCATATAACAACTATAAACTGGACAAATCCACAAGGGCCGTGACAAGGATTGACTATAGTCATATAGAGATTGACTCAGTCGTAGAATCGACTGAGCTACGACATGGTTAGTATCTCATTCGAATCCTGTGTGTGTGACAAGACTATAGCACACCTGGTGTAGAACTCCAAGGACGGTCGCCCTCCAGCTTCAACATTGAGGACAATCCCGAGAAGTGTAAGGTGGTCCAGCTGGTCCTTAGGTATGATGATAGGCCCAGCACACAGAGACCCAGCACACAGAGACCCAGCACACAGAGACCCAGAACACAGATGCCCAGTACACAGAGGTACAGTGTGACGGACCTCGGCGCCATCTACGAGCCAGGTGCCGAACTATAGCAGTTGACAAACCCATTAATCTTAGTTTCCCATTTCTTAGTCTGCTGTGCTGGAAGGTCACGACCAACCAGGGACAGGCAATGAAGTCAGTTAAGCTGGGAGAGTGGAAGAGAGCTTAGGGTGACCGGAAGGTGCTAGCCAAGTGGGCTAGGTGAACGCTGTGGACATGATGAGCGTACTAGCGAGTGCGCTAAGGAGGGGCACTAAGCTAAGGAGGGGGAGCATTTGAAGACGGCTCCATAACAGCATAAAGGTTAGTGACGCCTTGAAGACCTCGTCAGTGGCATATAGTGTCAGTCATCCGTGAAGCAGACTAGCGTGAGGGGCTAGTGACGCCGCTCTGGATGACCTCACATAGAGAATTGTATATATTATGGTGAAGGGTAATTATGTATATATTATGGGAACAGGTTATTTTCAGTACTATTATTTTTATTTACCTTAAACATTACACTATATTTCCACCAAGGTTAGGGTCCTCTGAACTTGAGTAGGGTCATAGTTTAAAAAGAACCCGGTTACGAAGGGATCGTAACACACTAGAGGGGTCTGTCATACTCTGAATAGGTTAATTTGTGGGATTATTATTTATTTATATATACAAGAGTTCTTACATTCTTGTACTTTCCCTGGGGGCTGGGCCTTGACCATCCCACCTGAAGGAAGTGCTGTTTGGTATATTTACAAGTAATGAGGCCGCCCTGGAGCATAGCATGGTGGTAGGTTTACTTGGAACAAACTACAACCAGTATCACACTATCTCCCCGGCACTCGTAACATGGGGCAGAAGGTTGTGTTGGAGTGCCAAAAACAGGGCTCCTCTCAGCGCTGGGCTGGCCTCCTCCATCACCCACCTCGCTTCTCTCTCACCCTCTCTCTCCCCACTTCCACTTCCCCTCTCCCCACTTCCACTTCCCCTCTCCCCATTACTGTCTATAATCTCCTGCCGCCTCCACATGGCTGATGCAGTTACATCGCAGTTCTCTGGAAATATGAGAAAAAAACAATAAAATGCCTCGCCCCAGGCACATCTCAAACACTCATAAATTACGGAAACAATAATTACGGGATTGATACAGCCGTTTTATACATCAAATTATTCATATATTTGTATCCTTCCTAAGTCGAATAGTATTGTTATTTTTGTGTTCAATATGATACAACACAGAACTGTTGCTTAAAAGCTGCGCGGTAAATGTGTGTCGGGGAAGGAAAGGAGTGTGGGAGAAGCTCTCACCTGTGGGTGAATGTGAGTGGAGCAGTTCTGGAAGGCTGGCCAGTGTGGGTGGAGGTAATAGGTGGAGTGAGGTGGTCTCGTCCACCTCTGCCTGACATCCTCTCTTGTACAGGTGGCGCACCTCGCTGCTACTCAGTCCACACCTGTTGAGTACGGCACCTTAGTCTCCAAACCTTTCTCTCGTGTGCTCTCTCATACTAGCTATAAGGTATCCGGCTGTGCCCGGGTCTCTCTACCCCTACCCCTCTATACTCTACTTGGTGGCCTGACAACTGAGTGGACAGCGCTTCGGATTTGTAGTCCTGAGGTTCCGGTTTCGATCCCCGTTGGAGGCGAAAACAAATGGGCAGAGTTTCTTTCACCCTAATGTACCTGTTCACCTATCAGTAAACGGGTACCTGGGAGTTAGACAGCTGCTACGGGCTGCTTCCTGGGTTATCTTGAGGTTATCTTGAGATGATTTCGGGGCTTTTTAGTGTCCCCGCGGCCCGGTCCTCGACCAGGCCTCCACCCCAAGGAAGCTGCCCGTGACAGCTGACTAACACCCAGGTACCTATTTTACTGCTAGGTAACAGGGGCATAGGGTGAAAGAAACTCTGCCCATTGTTTCTCGCCAGCGCCTGGGATCGAACCCGGGACCACAGGATCATAAGTCCAGTGTGCTGTCCGCTCGGCCGACCGGCTCCCGTGTGTGTAACCGGCCTGCCTGGGTGTGCCTGGGTAACAAAAACAACTTGATTTCTGGCCATGAAGGTCCAACAGAAGGAAAACATGTGGCTGTCTATATATAAAATTGGGTACGTGCATTCCATTAAAAAAAAGGGGGAGGCGGGTGTGTAACAAAAAGGAGGCCTGGTAGAGGACCGGACCGCGGAGATGCTGAGCCCTGAAATCACCTCAAGATAACCCCCTACTCATCTCTTTCCCCCTCCCCTTCACCTCTACATCTCCCCCACCTTACTCCTCTCCCTCCCTCTCCCCAACATACCTTTTCGCTTCCATCTCTCTCCAAAATTTAAATTATAGAGCAGTCACGTTCGTTCTCAATCGGGAATTCCGGGTTTGAATCCCGCACAGAAAAGCAATGGTTTGGACGAGTTTCCCATCACGTTATGGATCTGTTCACCTAGCGGTAAATAGTAGTAGTAGTAGTCATCCATCAGTCTCGGGAGACTATGAAGCTGCGCTCTGGTTGTTGGTCTGGAGTGGCCTCTCCGGGGCGCAAAGCCAGGGTAGGTGATATGGAGGAGAAGCTGTTACCCATGCAGCAGGTCCCCCCCTCTCCACGGCGCTGAAAGTCTACAATGGAAAGGCAGCCGCCAATACGATTGGTTCCAGCGCTGTCGCAGGAACTATGAGTTCCGGAGTTGACCTCGAAGTTGGTGAAAAAGGCACAGGGACACTGGAGAGCGCCGTGGTCGGGGCCGGAGAACCACCCCAGCAAGGGCAAGAACGACCCCAGCCTTCTGAAGCAGAGCCTGGGGGGCCGTACGAGTCCCAGGAGGTGGACGACCCGGTCCCGCACCTACGGGTTCCTGACAGATAGTCACAGCCCTCTTTCACCCGAGGCCGCCCTCCTTCAAGGCCAACCAGAAGGAAGAGTGATAATTATTAAATACAACAATTAATAATTGTTGATAATTAATAATTATCACTCTTCCTTCTGCTTGATCTTGAAGTAGGACTTTATCCTGGGTAAATAAGTGCCCAGCATTTAGTAAACTTATTAAGTTGCATCCTAGGGAAGGTCAGTAATTTGACCATTAGGGAAGAACCGGACTTCGATATAAGCCTAACATATGTATATACATTGGCTGCCTGTCCCCCGATACGAATTATTATTATTACTAAAACTCTACTGAAAGCACATCCCCAATTTCAATAAAAATAAAACAATAAAAATCTTAGGTAATCGTTATAGATGTCAATATTAATTAAAATGTGGCACAAAGGCTGACTCCGACTGGCCTATGGCACTCATATACACCATATGTATCATCTTCGAAAGTTGGGTGAGGTTGACACCAAGCATTTAGTCTCCAGATCTGAACAGCCAGACAAACATTCTATCTAAATGTATCGGAGAGAATATGTCTGGTGATGGAAGCTGGGAAGGTGGTGAAGGAGAGGGAAGGTGGCGAGGGAGAGGGAAGGTGGCGACGGAGGGATGGCGGCGAAGGAGAGGCAAGTACATATATCATAACTGAGATAAGGATAGATGCGAGAGTAATAGAGCGTTGCCAGGGAAGGGCGAGGTACATAATATCTGATTAAAGAAAGAATGCCAACAGTTTTAGAAACTTTTTTTAGCTATATTTAGAATGTGACCCTGGAAAATCAGCTTGTTATCAATGAGAACACACAGGAATTTACCATCTACTTTGTTACTAATTTGGAAATTGTAAATTCTTAGATTAATTTGATCAGAGGATTTATTAACATACAAAATATAAAAGGTTTTATCATTGTTAAGGGTGAGTTTATTTACAGTTTTAGCAGTTAGCCAAAGATGGACTTTATTTAGTTCAGTATTCACTGTGTCATTCAGAATAAGAGGTTAGGACTGGAGAAAATGAAGGTTGTGTCATCAGCAAATAAAATAAAATAAATAAACAATGAACACATTCTTGTGGGTCTCTTGCAAATCGTGTAGGGATTACATGTGCACCCACATCAATATGTCAGGGATGAGCTATAATTATTCAAAGTTTTTACTAAAATCTATAATTTTAGCCAGAAGCATAAATAAATTAAATTATGATATCAATGGAGAAATTGCTGGCATATTTTTAAATGATAAGCTAAGTTTCATAGGTAAAGCCTTAAACACTTATTACTTTAAATCCGGAATGATTTTTATTAAATATGATTCGAGGTATAATAGTACCAAAAATAAATACGGTCTACAATGAGAATATAATGCCTTACTACGACAAAGAGGTTATTTTGTATGAATTAGCTGGTCTTGGTGTTAAAGGGAGATTATTGCGCTGGATAGGGGATTATCTTTACGAAAGGAAGGCTCAGGTGTGGTATCATTGTTGTATGTCAGGTGTGAGGTCTTTTGAACTCGGCACACCTCAGGGAGGAGTGTTGAGTCCCACCCTGTTTAATGTACTAATGAATAAGATAGCATCTGAGAGATACTCAAATGGGGTAACTCCGATCATATATGCCGATGATATTTTGTTTCAGGGCAAGGATATTTCAAAGGTTCAAACAGGGCAGAGTTTCTTTCACCCTATGTCCCTGTTACCTAGCAGTAAATTAGGTACCTGGGTTTAGTCAGCTGTCACGGGCTGCTTCCTGGGGGTGGAGGCCTGGTCGAGGACCGGGCCGCGGGGACACTAAAACAGCCCTGAAATCGTCTCAAGATAACCTCAAGTGTTGGACAATTTCGGAAACCTGTGTCACCATATGGGACTGGTGGTTAATGAAAACAAAACTAAGTTTGAATGTAGAAGTCGGAGGCCCATTATATTGAAAATAAACGGTAAAAATATAGTTAATATATATAAATATTTAGGCATATATATTGGATATACCCATGAGAGTTTGGAAGCTGAGATGAACAGACTGTTGGGTCAATGTCGGAAGAGATTACAACCTCTGAAGGCCTTGGCATGCTGTGGAAAGGGAGTGGGAGTCCCTGTGCTACGAATGATATACTTGAGTACTGTAAGATCTCTTATTGATTATGCTGCACCTGTCATATCTTGTTTTGGTAAAGGTAGGATGGGCAAGTTGGAGAAGGTACAAAATGAAGCCATGAGAATTATCTTAGGATGCCCAAGAAATGCTATGATTGAGATAATGAGGATGGAGTTGAATCTGCAGAGCATTGGGAGAATTGTAGAGATAAATGTAGCCTCTGCCATTAGATTAATGAGAGGTGGGGGAGCTAATGAATTAATCCTCTCGGTTCAAAAGGTGGGAAGTAGTGAACAGTGTATAATGAAGAAGAGAGTATATATGAGTACCTTATGTTCTAATGTTATAAAGTATGATGTTATTACAGAGTGTATTGTTGTGCCCAAGAGAAAATTCTCACCACCATGGGAGGATTGTAATGTAGATGTAGTAATTACTCCCTTGCATAAGAAAAAAAGTATGTATGAAATAGGAGAGCTGAGGGCAACATATGATTGTATAATTAGAAAACTGCCTACGGAAAACACTCTACATGTATATTGTGATGGGTCAGTAGCTAGGGATGGGAAGGCAGGATGTGGATTCTTGATCAGGGAGTACACTGACATCGGCACTGTAGATACCGTTATTGGACGCCGCTTAACTGACAATGTCTCTTCAACGCAGACTGAACTCCAAGGTGTATTAGCAGGATTAGAGGAAGTAGTCAAATGTGGTAAAAAGCCTGCTTCTTTATTGACAGCAGAGGAGCGTTAGAGTCTTTAAATAGCAGACGCCCAGTATATCAGAATATTGTGATAGAGTGTAGAGAGAATGTTAAGAGACTAGAAAAAACTGGGTATAAAGTAAGATTCATGTGGATCCTTTCACATGTGGGAATACTGTTGAATGAGGTAGTTGATGACATAGCGAAGAGAGCCACTGAAAAAACTCTTGTTGATGTTGTATGTCAGTTAACCTTGAAACAAATAAAAACAAGAATCAAGATAGTCCATGAGGGTGAAGAAATGATAAAGAGAATGGCAATGGTGGACAGTAGTAACACACTTAAGAATTATTCAGTAATAAATACAAACTCGTCCTTCATCTATGGTAAAGGAAAGTCTACTTGGAAGGATTCAATTTACATGAGATTAAGATTAGGATACAAATATATCTGGCAATACGGTGTTGTTGTCAGTGAAAAAGATAAGGAGTGTAAATTATGTAGTATGCCGCACGCCCACACCTTAGAACATTATGTATTAGAGTGTCAATTTATTGAAAACTATAGAAATAAGGAAATAAGTAGTGTACCACATCAAATTGTTTGGATGTGTGATAATGGTATGATAGACAGTATACTTAGGAGCTACAAGAATTTTGCCCCACGAGTGTAACTTTTATATGCTGTGCTTACTATATTAACCTGCAATATTAAATGGGATTCTTGTAATGTTATTTGTACTCACTAAATTTGTGCGCCCCTTGAGGGACTTGATGTGGAGGGGGGTAGAAATAGCCTAAGCTACTCTATCCCTTTGAGATGTATTTCTTTCTTATCTCAATAAACAAACTTGAACTTGAACTTGTGCCATATCACCTCACCCAAAACGAGTTTAAGTATTAACGTATTTTGTGTGTAAACTAAGTCTTTGAAAATGTAATAAGGAATTACGAAACGCGTTCAGGCGTCAGACTAGGAATAAAGAATGAATTTTGGAGTTACTTTATCAATTACCCTCGACAGTGATGAAGAACGTAAGAAATATTGAGAAGATTCGTGTTAGAATTATTAATCTTACCATTTCGGTCATATTCAACAACATATGTTTACAAGAAAGACTGCTACCAAAATATACTAATATATATTATTATATATAATTATAATATAATATAGTATTACGGAAAGAAATGAGGAGAGTGTAAATTACACATATTCCTTTTCGCTGCAACCAAGAGGGGCTATTGATACTGTGCATTTATTGTGATAAGATAGCACCTACAAGATAAGGTAACCAGTCTAATATTTTGGACGTTATCTCGTTAAATGGTAGCGATATTGACACTAAGAAGCTGCACAAACCTTTGAGTAGTAACATGGTAGAGGAAGATGGTGTCAGTATTTACATCAAAACTATAACAAACTCTGTCTTCAGACAACACACAGCCTCTCTATTAAAGTCCCTTAACATGCTAAACATACACTCACTCCACACATTCTCATGTGCTATCTACATGTACAAAAATCTTGTTCCTAAAAGTTAATCTTGACTTTTCCTTGATAGGTGTAATAGAACCCATTAGCACCACACCAGAAATATATACTATATCTCTGAAATATTCACAGTCAGGCTAAATCTGTGCAAACACTCCATGCAAATAAAAGAGGCCGGTCTTTGGAGATCAATCCCTGATGAATTAAAAATTTTCCAATCCATGCCCTGTTCAAAAATAAAAATAAAAAGTACCTAATTTCATCCTCATAGTTTCATACCTCGTGTTTCAAACTGACACTGTATCTTGTACTACCCAGTTCCCTAATATTAGTACTTAAGACTAATTAAGTACTTCATCTTTAGCAATGTAATTGCCTCTGCCAATTTATATTATTGATATAAAACCTTGCTATATTGTACTTTTCACCTTACCTGATATGTTAGATTAAGGACTTGCCAGAAACGCTATGCGTGTTACTGGCCTTGCAAGAATGTAAAAATTTCGCTCTAATGTAATCTCACCAACCCATTGTACATTCGTGTAAACGAAATATTATTTATTATTATTATTATTATTATTATTATTATTATTATTATTATTATTATTATTGCGGATCAAGACGGTTAACCAATAAATTTCAATGAAGGCGACTATACAAATGTTGTGTTAGACGTACAACCTGTAGCTGACCTTATATAACAGTGAGACGATTTACCTGCTCATCCTTACACCTTAGCAAGTTACAAAATGTGTGCCAGTTGCCAGTTGTTGGTCGAGGCGTTATTAATTCTGCTACCTCCACCATGGTCTATAAGGGTGGACTGGATAATATACAACTTTTTTAACAGTTGCATGCGACATATTCGCTGTTGCTGTATACAACTTATTAACTAATGTAGCGAGATGAGTGGCCACTTTTATAGTGAGAACATTAGCTCCTGCAGCACTAAGTATGGGTCACAATGTGTTACAGGACGTCAGTCATGGTGAATAAACTTTTAAACAGTCACTTAGTTTTGGGCTGTAAAAACATAAAGAAGCGTTAAAGGGAATCGGATAGCAAATTGTGGATGGACGAGTAGTGAAGAAAGAACAACGAAAGAAGAAGAATTAACCATTATCCAGAAATTTACAAAGCAGAAATATCACGTTTTTGTAAAATATTTGTCACTTGAATAGAAGATTTTTAGGTGAGAGCGTGGCAGGTACTCCATACTGGTTTACGTGAGAGCGTGGCAGGTACTCCATACTGGTTTACGTGAGAGCGTGGCAGGTACAACATAGTGGTTTACGTGAGAGCGTGGCAGGTACTCCATACTGGTTTACGTGAGAGCGTGGCAGGTACGTGAGAGCGTGGCAGGTACTCCATACTGGTTTACGTGAGAGCGTGGCAGGTACTCCATACTGGTTTACGTGAGAGCGTGGCAGGTACTCCATACTGGTTTACGTGAGAGCGTGGCAGGTACTCCATACTGGTTTACGTGAGAGCGTGGCAGGTACAACATACTGGGTTTACAGGTGCCATTACAAGATTATACTGTCGTGATAACCTATACTTTTCAAAGTGTTGTCATCGCAAATGGTTGAGTCCACCCTTGTGAGTCGACAAAAAATTAACATATTGCCAGTAAATTCTGGAATAAATAATAAATTTAAAGATAGTTTAGTTCATTTATTATGCACCCCATACCCATCTTGTGGGCGGTAGTGGAAAGGGTTACAGAGGCACATAATGGGCTCAGGGACTGAACCCCACAATTCATTTAGTTAAACAAGTTACAATCTTGATGAACTAGTTGCAAAATTCAGTATAAGTCGCCACATCATAAATGGGTTCGAGATCGACCACAAGTACAGTTTCTAAATTAAGCAACTGACATGTGGAGAGCTAGTGTCACAATTGATACGCATTTCGAATTCAACATTGATAGTGTGGCAAAGTACACTCTGCCTCTACAGCTGTGACACCATCTTCTATCAATTCCATAGTCAGTTCCAAAGCTAATGAGGACTTGTCCGATAGGGGTCCATTTACACTGCTTGATACCTGGTTGATGGGGTTCTGGGAGTTCTTCTACTCCCCAAGCCCGGCCCGAAGCCAGGCTCGACTTGTGAGAGTTTGATCCACCAGGCTGTTGCTTGGCCCGCTCCAGGCGACCCAAGCCGCTTGGCACTCTATCTATAAATTCATAAATATTTGTATCACACCTTGTATGTATGTACTTTACCTGAATAAACATTTGAATTTTTTTAATCATATCTTGGACTCTTTTTTCCTCTAATTTCTTCCTCCCACTGCACTTCTCCCATATAGTACCTTATCCTTCTGTAGTCCCTTTTCCTGTAGTCAACTCTCCTTTCCCAGACCTCTTGTCCCATGGCCACAAGTTTGAGCTCCATCATGTAGTCAAAAACCAGGACCCAATGGTCGCTGGCCCCTAGAGGTATTTCATGTTCCAAATTCTCGATATCTTCTACGTTCTGGGTGAAAATCAGGTCTAATAGGCTCTGTACATCTCCTCCTCTTTCCCTTGTGTCTTCCTTCACATGTTGTGTTAGGAAATTCCTGTCAATAACATCCTTTTTTTTAGATATATACAAGAGTTGTTACATTCTTGTACAGCCACTAGTACGCGTAGCGTTTCGGGCAAGTCCTTAATCCTATGGTCCCTGGAATACGATCCCCTGCCGCGAAGAATCGCTTTTTCATCCAAGTACACATTTTACTGTTGCGTTAAACAGAGGCTACAGTTAAGGAATTGCGCCCAGTAAATCCTCCCCGGCCAGGATACGAACCCATGACATAGCGCTCGCGGAACGCCAGGCGAGTGTCTTACCACTATACCACGGAGACTGTTTCACTAACTTTGCTTCCCACGTTTCGTCCCCTCCATGGGGGTTCCTTGATTCCCAATTTATCTCTCCATGATTTAGGTCCCCCATGACCAGCAGCTTCGCTCTCATTCTGTGAGCTAATGTTGCTGCCCTCTGCAGTTCATCTATGCATGTGTGCGTGTATATGTGTGTGTGTGTATGTGTGTGTGTGTGTGTGTGTGTGTGTGTGTGTGTGTGTGTGTGTGTGTGTGTGTGACAAGACTATAGCACACCTGGTGAAGAACTCCAAGGACGGTCGCCCTCCAGCTTCAACATTGAGGACAATCCCGAGAAGTGTAAGGTGGTCCAGCTGGTCCTTAGGTATGCCGACCTCATCCTCGACTTCATGGGCAGCTGACGTCCACACCTGCCACAGGAATAAGTGTGTGTGTAGTATAATATATATATATATATATATATATATATATATATATATATATATATATATATATATATATATATATAAATTATATAACTGAAAACTCACACCCCAGAAGTGACTCGAACCCATACTGCCAGGAGCACTCTGCATCTGGCGTACAGGACACCTTAACCACTCGACCAACACGACCGGACAAAAGAGGATGGTAGCTGAGGCTAATTCCCCATCCCCCCCCCGATTAGCCCCGAGGCTAATTCCCCATCATATATTCAGTTGCATATATGCTTGGAGACCGTCCAGGCTTGTTCGCATTTGTGTTCCTCACGTGTGCCCCAAAGAATGAGGTGATTTGATAAAATACCATGCCCATGATTACCATCAGAGTGCCGGCGGGGGGATGGGGAATTAGCCTCGGCTACCATCCTCTTTTGTCCGGTCGTGTTGGTCGAGTGGTTAAGGTGTCCTGTACGCCAGATGCAGAGTGCTCCTAGCAGTATGGGTTCGAGTCACTTCTGGGGTGTGAGTTTTCAGTTATATAATATATATATATATATATATATATATATATATATATATATAATATATATATATACAGAACGCAGTACTCGGCCTACTATGCAAGGCCCGATTTGCCTAATAAGCCAGGTTTTCCTGAAGTTATATATTTTTCTAATTTTTTCTTATGAAATGATAAAGCTATCCATTTCATTATGTATGAGTTCATTTTTTAATATTTGAGTTAAAACTACCGTCGATATATATGACTGAACCTAACCAACCTAACCTAACCTAAACTAACATAACTACGTCAATAATTTATGTTCGTAATATAATATAATAATAATTTAAAATAAACTAATTGGAAACAATTGAAAATAAAGAAATTCACTCGGCCTATTGGGCAAATCGGGCCTTGCATAGTAGGCCGAGAAGTGCGTTATGGCTACTATATATATATATATATATATATATATATATATATATATATATATATATATATATATATATATATATATATATATATATATATATACTTTTTATTTTCTTCTCCGAGGCTATGGGTCCCCACATTGGCGCCAGAGGTGGTACGCTCAAAAAAAATATATATAAAACTGGATTTCAGAAATACTTTCCATCTGGTAAGAAGGGATGCAGTACTCAATGTATATATATATAAAGTACATATATATATATATATATATATATATATATATATATATATATATATATATATATATATATATATATATATATATATATATTCACCCCCCCCCCCCCCCGCTCCCCTAGTCATACCTCTCTTTTCCCCAGTCACGTCACGCTTGCACTCTGCGCCGCCCGTCACGCTTGCACTCTGCGCCGCCCGTCACGCTTGCACTCTGCGCCGCCCGTCACAACCTTCCCAGTATACATACCTCTTTGAGTACGGCGTCATCCAGTGAGGAGTGGGTGTGGTGTGTAGTGAGGACTCTCTCCGGCTCCGGGTGTCCCCCAGGGCGGTCTAGTGCCCCAGGGTACTCTCCCGTCCACCCTGCTCGCCGAACCGCCACCAGGAACCCGTCGCTCGTCACCACCAGGACGCCAACACCTGCACAACCCCCACTTAGTATAAACACCTGCCATATAACCACCATATACACCCACAGACACAAACTATCAGAATATCGTCAAGGTTGTATATCAAAATGACGAACCTCCGTATAATCATCAGGGTCTTTACGAGACTTCAGGTATACCACCAACTTAAGAACATTAAAGTATAACAAGTACAATTACCTGCAACACTGCTAATTCTTTAGCTGAAGGGAGTGACGCCACACTTGACCACGGAGAAGGAGCAGGATTGTTATTACGACGTATTAGACTGTAATGTCTGGTTATGTTATAGATCTACCACACACCTAGCATTAACTAGGGGTGATAACGACAAATAAGAACCTAAGAACAATGAACAAAATAAAGAAGGAAGCCGTTTAAAGTATGGAACAGCAGAACATAAGCGGCACTTAACGTGTAATGGTTAACACGCGCCACTTATTAAACCTCCACCTACATAATTTTAAAAGAAGTGTCATCAGAAAACCAAAGAAGAGAGTCACTGCATTACACTTGTATTCCCTTGAAAGGAAGGGTTTAACAATGGAGCCAGCAAGCACATCAAGGTGAATACGGTCCGTGTTAGTGACTTTCCAAGAATGTAAAAATACCAACATTATGTACTCTCACAAACCCATTGCACCTTCTTGTAAATAAATAAAGAAATAGTAGATAAATCAAACTCTCACCACCAGAGCGCCCATACCTGTATCTACTGATACTAATGTCCGACAGGTCTACTTCCCACTAGAGTATGTAGACACAGTATACCAGTACTCACCTAATTGTGCTTGCGGGGGTTGAGACCAGTGCTATGACTACACTGCTCTCTCTCTCTATAGCCTGTCTACTATGCAATATATATATAGCATGTCTACCGTGCACTTTGTATAACGAATCTACAAATGCACTCCATATAATATGACTACCATGGACTCTGTATAATGTGTCTACCATAAACTGTGATAGATGCACTCTACGGAGAGCATATTTTGACCATGTGGTGGTACAGTTGACTAGAGCGCGGCTGGGAACACTCATCAAGGCTCCTGTGGATTTATTTTTGTTATATAAACTCTGTGTAATATGTCTACCATGCACTGTAATAACGTGTCTACCATGCACTGTAATAACGTGTCTACCATGCACTGTAATAACGTGTCTACCATGCACTGTAATAACGTGTCTACCATGCACTGTGATAACGTGTCTACCATGCACTGTGATAACGTGTCTACCATGCACTGTGATAAAGTGTCTACCATGAACTCTGATAACGTGTCTACCATGAACTCTGATAACGTATCTACCATGAACTCTGATAACGTGTCTACCATGCACATTGTACTGTAAAATATTTCTACACAAGACAGAGCCTTGATGCCCTCCACTTACAACATTTTCCCACTCTGACTTAACCCCATTTATGTTAACTCTTTGTTTCCTTTGGTATAGCCATGCCCTAATCCCACCTAATATAGCACCCCCAATACCGTGAGCCTCTAACTTTTTAATCAGTCTTTCATGTGACACTGTATCAAAGCTTTGTGATGTTGTCAAGGTACACAACATCACAAAACTTACCACTATCAACTGCCTCAACTATAATCATTAATCTTACTCTTTCGGTCATATTCAACAAAATATATATATATATATATATATATATATATATATATATATATATATATATATATATATATATATATATATATATATATATCCACAGGAAATGCTCACTGCATCCATGGTTCCTGCTCGCCATCTGAGGTGCTGGAGGAGCTCTACAACTTGTGACAAGCAGCCTTGTACCCTGCATGTAATCAATATTGTAACTTTTTTGTGTAATGACATTTTCAAATAAAGTTAGATAAATATACACACATACCAAAAGAATAGGGGTGGTAGGAGAAGAAAATATCAAAGTGTTCAGTGAGGATCCACAATGTCTCTGAGTACTCTTTATTTTCTTCTCCGAGGCTATGGGTCCCTACACTTACACCAGCGGTGGTACCCTTTCTAGGTTAAATAAATATATATATATATATATATATATATATATATATATATATATATATATATATATATATATATATATATTAATATAATATAATATGCAATTGACGATCATTAAACACTGATCATTTTATGCGGAAAATCCACAGAGAAATATGAAAGGAGGTGAACGTTTCGGCTTGTTAAAGCCTTTGTCAACACCAGACTGACTCAGTCTGGTGTTTATATAATATATATATATATATATATATATATATATATATATATATATATATATATATATATATATATATATATATATATATATATATATATATATATATAAATTAATCTGCCCGAAATGCTTTGCGTAATAGTGGCTTTAGGCATTATATGTACTATAGCTCTATCTATAAATTCATCAATTTTTGTATCACCCCTTGTATGTATGTGTTTTACCTAAATAAACATTTGAATGTGAATATATATCCCCCTCCCTCAAGGTGGACCTACTGACCTTCCTCAGGATGTAACTCTAACAAACTGCTGGGTACCTATTTACTGCTATGTGAAAGGAAACATGTCGAGCCATTTCTGTCCTGCCCTGGAGTCGAACCCGAGATTCCTGATTATGAGTCGAGGACCAATCAAACTTTTTTTTTGTACTTCAGTGACAATATGGATTTCTGTCGTGCATCAAATGAACAATGTGGATTTGTTCATTTGATGCATCATGCTATTGTGATTTCTGTGGTATAATTTATACTGTCTTACCTATTGGGTCCGACATGTATGCTTGTGCATTTCCAAAGTCCTTGGAGCCTCTTTCTTGTAGTGAGCGAGCATTGTGGGCGAGGTTGGTGCCGCACAAGTCCTTGTACGAGGTCACGCCTATCTCCAGCACCCACTTCTCTTCCTCTCTGTACCACCCTGCCAGCCGAAACTTATCCCCATTGTATAAACGAGAGTTCTTAGCGCGCTTTGCTTCCCACAGTTTGTTGACTTGCTGATCAATGTCCCAGGACGCGCGACGGGCAAATTTGGAAGGTTCAAATTTGGCGGCGACTTGTGAGAGTTTTATGGCGGCACCTGGAGTGGCCGGCCGCTGCCACACCACCTCTACCTGGCCCAACCTGGTTCGCTCCATCCCACTCAATCTGCTGCTCAGATTTATCTTTTCTCGATATAAAAAGACATCTAATGAGTCTCTGATAGTTGAAGCCCATGCAACACTAATGTGTATATGAGAAAAGTTGGTGGTTGTAGACAAAATCACTAAATACAGTACGTATCAACACTTGGCCTCTTGTTGTGTTGTTGTCAGACGAAGGGTTGGCAGACCTGTTACTCTGGCCCCTATTATTTATTCTTATCGCCTCAGCCATACTAAATTGCTGTAATACATGTCAAATATTCTTCATTATGAACAAATTACGAACACTATCTTTCTCGCAGATAAGGATCCTTCATTTAATCTACCATTTACAATGTTGTAACGGTTCTATAGTATATTATTGGGATAATCTACTCGCTACAATGTAAATGGTAGATTACCATTTACATTTTAATCTACCATTTACAATGTAAATGGTAGATTACCATTTACATTCCCAGTTTATCTTGAAAAACAAATTAATAATTGAGTCGCAACATGATTTTATAAAAAAAAAAAAATAAAATAAAATAAAATAAAATGTTTATTTAGGTAAGGTACATACAATAAATTTTTACAAAGATTGGTTGACTTATAGGTAGAGCTAGTACATACAATGCCTAAAGCCACTATTACGCAAAGCGTTTCGGGCATGATAAACTTAAATGACAAGCTTAATACTAATTGAGCATAATGAGTAGAATGAAAACAAGAAATGAAAACATAGATGAAAAAGCAGCACAAATACAGTTATGTCGACAAACAGCGCTCTCTAAAAAAAAAAAAAAAAAAAAAGACATTGGTTGACAATAGAAGGGTAAGGTAGGTTACAGGGAATTTATTAGGTATAGCTTCGTTTTTAACTTAAACTGGTTGAGAGAGGTACAGTCTTTAACATGGTTGGGAAGGTCATTCCACATTCTGGGCCCCTTGATTTGTAGAGCATTTCTAGTTTGATTAAGTCGTACTCTAGGAATATCAAAACTGTATTTATTTCTGGTGTGGTGCTCATGGGTTCTGTTACAACCTTCCATGAAGCTTTTGAGATCAGGATTGGCATTATAGTTTAGTGTTTTATATATGTATAATACACATGAGAGAATGTGCAGTGACTTAATGTCTAACATATTCAGAGATTTGAGTAGGGGTACCGAGTGATGTCTGGGGCCAGAGTTGGATATTGTCCTAATAGCAGCTTTGTGTTGAGTAATTAGAGGACGTAAGTGATTTTGGGTAGTAGAGCCCCAAGCACAAATACCATAGTTGAGATATGGATAGATAAGGGAGTAATAGAGAGTCACCAGGGCAGGGCGTGGTACATAATATCTGATCTTAGAAAGAATGCCCACAGTTTTTGAAACTTTTTTTGATATATTTAGAATGTGTCCCTGGAAATTCAGCTTGTGGTCAATGAGAATGCCAAGGAATTTGCCATCTAATTTGTTACAAATTTGGGTATTGTTTATTTTGAGATTTATTTGATTAGAGGATTTATTGCCAAACAGAATATAGAAAGTTTTGTCAATGTTAAGGGTGAGTTTGTTGGCAGTTAGCCAAAGATGGACTTTATTTAGCTCAGTATTTACTGTGGCATTTAGAGCAAGGGGGTCAGGACTGGAGTAAATGGCCATTTACGTTTAACAAATTTGTTATCTTTTTATTCTAGCATAGTTGAGGCAATTGATAGTTTAGTTAGTTTAGTTCATTTATTATGCACCCCATACCCATCTTGTGGGCGGTAGTGGAAAGGGTTACAGAGGCACATAATGGGCTCAGGGACTGAACCCCACAATTCATTTAGCTAAGCAAGTTACAATCTTGATGAGCTAGTTACAAAATTCAATATAAGTCGTCACATCAACAATGGGTTCAAGATCGACCTCAAGTACAGGTTCTAAATTAAGCAACTGACATATGTGGAGAGCTAGTGTCACAATTTATATGTTTGTCCTGCACACCGCCCCCCATCCAGTGGGCAGCGGTGGATTGGTTACAATCACTCGGTTACTACCTACAGTTAGCAAACTGGGAATATTTGGCTAAAATTTCTGGTAGCAGATAATTTTGAATGAAATATTGACACATCGCTGGAACATTGGTTATAGAATTGTCTCTAAATTCACGTATCTTTTCGCACTCCATCACATAGTGACGGAGGGTGTGCGAATAATTTTGTTGACACAGTTTACGTTTGGTCAGGTCTACATCAGCAGATAATGAGAATTCCCAGAGATACTTGTAACCGAGTCTAAGCCGAGCAGTAGTAACATCTAGAAGTCTGCTGATTTTATTGGATGATCCATAGATGTGTGGCTCCTCTTGCATGATAGTATGATGATAGATGGAATTACTGGTGTCAATTTCACTTTGCCTCAGATCTACAAGATCTTGGTGAAGTTCTCGGTGTACTGCTGCTCTCAGATTGTTCATTGACAATCCAAGGTTACACTCAACGGCTCCTTTAATGGCAGATTCTTTGGTTAACTTATCAGCTCTATCATGCATTCGGAGGCCAACATGAGATGGAGACGATAGTGGTAAAGATTGTGATGTTGTGTACCTTGACTTTAGCAAAGCCTTTGATACAGTGCCCCTCCGTGGTGAGGGGCTCACGTACACCTCCCTGGGACGGGTGTGGGTTGCCTGTGCCCTCTCTCCTGCCCCCTCTTTGGGTGGTGTACGTGCTGAAGGGCACCATGTAGGGGCTTTGTGAGCCATCGGACCACCCGTTGGAGGGGTCGCCTGTGAGAGGCCGCCCTGAGTGGATGGTTGGGTGTCCAGGCTGGGGCGATAGGGGGACTGGGGTCTTAGCACCAGTGTGGGAGAATGAACGAAGTAGTAGGACTCCCCTGTTGAAAAGGGGGAGCACCGCTGGGGATGACACACCCTTCCTGCACTGGCCCGCGCTCGGCCTCCCTGGCTGCCCTGGTAGGTGGTATCCCTTGGTTTCGGGTCCCATCCCTTATATATTGGTTTACTATATGGATGACGACTTGACTACTCCTAACCAGGCTCATGGGGTGGGCGACCAGGCCCCTGAGTCGGACCGTCCTGGAAGACCGGGATCTGTAGCCTCCGCTACAGAACCCGGGTTAGGCCCAGACCGGACTCTTCCTCCCTGCTCCCCTCCCTCCTCTGTGGTTGGGTCGAGCCTCAAGCCTGCTGTGGTGACCGTCTCGTCCCCTTGCACGGCTCCATCACTTCTTGCGACTACTGCACCTTTCGACCCGTCTCTCTCTACGGGTTCTCATCGCCGTACCCGCCACGGCCGCTCTCGTATGCTCCCTTCCCATCCTTTGTTTGGTCCTGCTACGTGGACTAAGTACTTTGACCTCCAACCTTTGGACTCAACTCCTCCTGACGATTTTTCCCTTCATAAGCATCTTGTTGATTCCGTGGATGCCTCTCTCACCTTCAACCCCACTTGTCTTGGTACCCGTATCGTTGCTGCTCCTTCTCAGGATGCGGCCGCCCGCTTGGCCACCTTATCCTGCCTTGGCGAAACCTGAGGTTTATTTCTGAGGTTGGAAGAAAACGTGCTCAGATTGGGGACTTGTTTATTTTATAATGGTAAATAATAAATATATAATAAATTAATTATTATTATATAATAAATAATAATAATAACAAATAGTATAATGATAAGCAATTATTTTTAATGAAAACGGCCACGTCTGTGGGCCGTCCCTTTCAAAATAAAACTGAGGATGCAGAGGATCCCGGGAGGAGGGTCGGCGTTTTGTAAGTGAGCAGCTGCTTGCTTGACGGGAAGAGGGGCCATGCAGTCTGCACACAGAGCTTTATAACCTCGGGCCGCTGCGCGCGCAGCTTGGGCGGTTAAAGTCAGCTTCCAGACATACGTTTTCTCTTCCCTCAGAAAATCCACCGTTTTTTGGGGAAAAAACAGTGTTCTTCATCATTACCTAGCTTCAAAACTTTACATTTATCAGCATTAAACTGCATCTGCCAATCTTTTGACCTACCTACAGTTTGCAAACTGGGGATACAACAACAACAGCGAGTTTTGAGATGTCAAAATACCCGCCATAAAGCATTATACTTATACACACAATGACTAGTGATAATGTGGAACTCTAAATTATTAAAAAGATATTTAATAACCTTAATTTTTATTTGGGTACCCACAGGATTAAGATAATTATAGAAGAGAAGGAAGGTAAGATGAGAGAGAAGGGTTTACATAGAGGAGCGCGGTGAGGCCAACATTGTTTGTTGTCAAACGGCTCGCGCGCCCGAGGTAGGTCCCGGCAACCGTTCTTCATATATACAGCTTAACATATTTCACTTTACAGGTAGAAAATTGTAGCCACAAATGCAAAATGATGCTACATGGAGAATATTTTATGTAACTGATTTATGTACGTGTTATGCTGGCTGAACAGTTATGGTCCAGTTTAGGTTCCAGTAGCCGCAAGGGGCGCTACCATCGCCAGTGAATACTTCAATACACTGAAGTCTAGCCTTTTATGCCGTGCTTCGTAGCCGTTTATATCCGGCTGTATGTAGTCTCAACAACTTCATTCAGTGCATTCCACCTGCAGACTGCCTTACAGATAATGAATCTGAGGATACATTACAAACGACAAGGAAGTGTGTTAGGAACTCAATAAGAAATTTCAGGTCTTTACAGTAGAGCCAGGGGGAGGTCCCAGAGATAAGAGAGGGAATATCTAACCAAAGGCCACTAGATGGATTTGTGATTACCAGAGGGGAAGTGAGGAAGCATCTGTTAAAGAGTTGGAGGTGACAAAGGCTATAGGCCCGGATGGAATAAATAAATAAATAAATGTTTATTCAGGTAAGGTACATACATACAAGAGATTTTACAAAAATTTATCGATTTATAGATAGAGCTAGTACATACAATGCCTAAAGTCACTATTACGTAAAGTGTTTTGGGCAGGAATCTCACTATGTATACTGAAGGAAGGAGCAGAAGCTCTGTGTCTGCCACTCTCCATGGTGTATAACAAATCACTGGTAATAGGTGAATTGCCAAAAATTTGAAAGACAGCTAATGTAGTTCCAATATTCAAGAAGGGTGATGAGAGGCACTGAACTACAGGCCAGTGTCCCTACCTTGCATACCATGCAAGATGATGGAGAATACTGTGCAAAAAAGCTAGTGGAACATCTGGAGCCAAAGAACTTTGTAACACAACATCAACATGGGTTCAGGGATGGCACGTTCTGCCTCACAGGATTAATTGAATTCTACGACCAGGCAACAAAAATCATGCAAGAAAGAGAGGGGTGGGCAGATTACATATTTTTGAATTGCCAGAAAACCTTTGACACAGTATCACATAGTAGTTTAAGGACTTGCCCGAAATGCTATGCGTGCTAGTGGCTTTACAAGATTGTAATTTCAACTTACTCTTATGTTCTCTCTTAACCCCCAATGTACTTTCTTGTATATATATAAATAAATAAATAAATAAATAAATAAATAAATAAAAACATGGTTATCTTGAGGTTATCTTGAGATGATTTCGGGGCTTTTTAGTGTCCCCGCGGCCCGGTCCTCGACCAGGCCTCCACCCCCAGGAAGCAGCCCGTGACAGCTGACTAACACCCAACCTATTTACTGCTAGGTAACAGGGGCATTCAGGGTGAAAGAAACTTTGCCCATTTGCTTCTGCCTCGTGCGGGAATCGAACCCGCGCCACAGAATTACATGGTACCACGATGGTAATCCGTTCCCAGAGACGTATCGTAAGTCGAAATGATTTTTCCCCATAAGAAATAAAGGGTATTGAATTAATCAGTTCCACACCCCCAAACATATTAACTTAAATAGTATTCAGTATAAAATGTGTTTTTTTTTTCTCTCTAACTACAGTACAGTACATATGTTTATCTTACCTTTTTGGAGGACTCATGATGGCATATGGAAGATGGTGATGAAGGGGGAAGAGGAGAGGTGTTACTGTTTGGAAGGGGAGTCCCCTTCCATTATAACGTTTCTGCCCGAAACGCTGTGCGTACTAGTGGCTTTACAAGAATGTAACTATTATGCTATGTATCCTCACAAACCCAATGTACCTTCTTGTATATATATAAATAAATAAGTAACATCAGGCAGTGATGATTTCTCTGGCATAGACTCTCTCCTACGTTTTGCCTGCATACGATTAGGACATGGTTTTGGTTTACTGCTTGGTTTGTCTCACTAAAAATTTGTCTAGACACACATGTTCGTTTTAACATTTGTCTGTAGTGATGCATCACAGTGTACAGTAATTGAAAAGATTAAGGCAACAGCTTGATTTGGGTGAGTTGTTTCAGCAAAAGTTTACAGTTCTTCCCATGCTGCACACGTTTCCTTAATTTTTGAGGAAGGAATATTCTGTACTGCCTCTATGGTCATCTTCAAATGTGATTTCATATGTTTAACCTTACTACTGACTCTCTTGGGACCCATGGCATGATATATAATAATCAGTTTTTATGTTCAAAAAGCAAAAAATCACCAAAAAAATTGAATTTCTTATAAGCGTGATCGTCACTAAGCAGGTGGCTCTAGTAAACTGAGGCAGGTCGGCCTGTGCAACAGAACCACATGCTCGGTCGACCCGAACGTGTATCAACAAATATCGTTAGTCGACGACACTACAGTATTATAAGTCGAGTCGCATTTTCCGATTAAATTTATATCGTGATTAAATTTATATCGTAACTCATAATTATCGTAAGTCGGGACAATCGTATGTCGAGGTGTCAGTGTATTATAATACTGTACTCTTACCAGTTTCTACAAGACTCCTCTGAAACGATGTATTTTTTTAACAAGCTTAGGTATACACAGCAGGCTGGCTGGCCGAGCGGACAGCACGCTGGACACGTGATCCTGTGCTCCCGAGAGCCAGCGAGAAACGATGGGCAGAGTTTCTTTCACCCTATGCTCCTGTTACCTAGCAGTAAATAGGTACCTGTGCTGCTTCCCTATTCTGTATTAAGACCCACACAGTGTAGATCAAAAATCAGCTACAAGTTCATCCCCACCTCTCAGGATGGCCAGTCATAGATGGAATCAGGGGAGAACAAGAAATGTAAGGCTGATCTATTAACCTCCACTAGCAAAATCTGGGTACAGTACAAGAACATCTTCCAATATTCCTGAGTGTATGAAGTAATTACAGAGCTCAAAGTACCTCATACCATTTGGTCTGAAGTCACTGATAACAGGGCAATCACAGATATAGTGTTGGAGAGTATGTCCTCTCAAGTAGGACCGACAACACATGTTTTTTTCACCCAGAGGGTTATAAACCTATGGAACCGCCTACCTGCTGTAGCCGTAAATATCAAAATCCAGCAAGAAAATATCATTAAGACAATTGGTGGGACTTTTAACAAGCCCCCGGTTTTCTGTCCTCGTTGAGGCCACTAGATAGTTTGGGGCTCTTGGGTAAATTTAGGTACAGTACATATATACATAAATAAATACCATCGCTTCTCAAATCTTTGGAGGGACAAGGAAAGCAACAAAATATCTCTTGGAATTACGTAGATAAACAAAAAAATGTTTACTGTTTATTTGTAAACAGTAAATATTTGTATTTGTTTACTGCAATATTGGTGCTGAGTGTAGAAGTTGAAAAAACATAGTTTTTCTTCAGAATATGCTAATTTTATAAGCAAATACGGCGTAAAAGGTGACAAGTGACCACGTATAAGCTCCGATATGCCAGTGTCGTGATTGGGTACAGCTGTAAGATAAAAAATGTGTCTTTCTGCATCTTTCCTTTTCTAGATAAAATTACATTCTGTTTAAATTTTGCCCCAATAGGAGAGTTTATTGGGCAGCGCCACTCATACTGTGAGTGAACATTTGCTAGAGGTATTCTCGCCCCCATATTCTGGCTTCTTGATCTTGGGTGTTTTCCATGGTTAAGGATTCGTTTTTTAAGTAATGTTTTCCTCTGACTGCGAGGTTGGGAAGACTCGTGCTCTTTGCTGGAAGTGTGGGCTTTGTGTTTTTTGGCACAGGTAATGGTTTTATTCTCTAATATTCTCTGTTGTTTTTAGCTAACAAGAACATATCTATGCCTGGAAGATTTATTAGTTATAGTTAGATTGGTTTGTCTGGGTGGGGGGTGAATCATATACTGTGCCCTGTAGCCACTGCTTGGCTTTACAGTATTTGAGAGCTATTTGTGCTCTTCATGTTGAAGCTTTGTCAACACTCTGTCATATCAGTTATAACTGATTTATTCATTGCCCCACGTTCTTGATGACTACTTTGTCTTGGGTTCGCCTTGTATTAGAGACGAGCTCCTGGACGATATCCCTGGACTTTATGAATGTATACTGGCATGTCCCTGTTCATCCAGGGGTTCAGGGATTGGTTAGGTTTCATTGTGGTGTCAGGCTTTCCACTTTCAGGTTCTTCCCTTTGACTTGAATCTATCTCGCCATGTTTTCACCAGGTTGGCTCGGATCATAATGATTTGTCTTCGCTGGGGTGTTTGTGTTCTGTCCTACCATGATGACTGGTCCATATATTAAGGGTAATGTGGCAACAGCCATACTTGTTGCACTGGCTGGTGCCACCAACTAGCTTGAAGGAGTTCTTTCAGCAGCATTTCTTCAATTCATGTAGTTCTTACACATTTTATGGACATCCTTAATGTGTGCTTTGTGTTCTAGTCTTATATTCAGTGATGCTCCACTATAGAAGTTTTGTTTTCTGGTGAGGTGCCTGGGTTCTCTAGGTGGGCTCCCTGGGCCCTTGTTGGTTTTCAAGTCAGTGTTCCAGTCTTTTGTCTTTTACATTTCCTCTTCCTTCCTTTCTTTTGTTAATGTTTATTTCTTTTAGATATTTCTGGTTCTGCTTCAGGTAAGCTTGTCAGTCACCTTCAGAGATGCTCCCAAGACACAGGTGGGCTTCTCAGGGGCTTGGGTGGGTTTGTCCTACCCTGACATCTTTGTACAGCTACCTTACTTGGATACGGTAAGTTTCCTTATTGATTTCTTTTGTGGGAATACTTTTATGCTATGAGAGTCTCTGCGGGAAGTTGGCTTTCAGAGTGACCGAGGAGAGTTTTGCTTAGAAATAGAATTGAACAATTTGTGAAAAACTTTCAGAATCACTTTTCAGTTGCTCCCTTTTCTGCTCTTGCAATTCCGATTTAGGTTAACATGCCTATGCACGTAGTCTATGATTTAAGTGAGGATAGTAATTTCCTCTGACCCAGTAGTGGTGGTGCTGTCATCTAGTGGTAGCCAGAGTAGTGAGTATAGTAGCATATGGTAGTTTGGAGGAATTAACTTGTGTTCCTTGTGTTTCCAGTTGTTTTTCGAAAAAAGTATTGAGTTTTTGTTTTTGCTCCTTGGTGTCAGAGTATGTGGTCCTAATGGTCATTTTGGTAATGGATTGAACTTTTTCTTCTCCGCTGACAAGTATCTTTGTAAATGGAGGAAGGCATCATGAGATTGACAAAACCTGTACTCCAATGGATTGTTGTGGTGTTCTATGCAGGCCAAATTCTGGTTTGGGAAGTTAGTCCCCCCCTCCCCCATCCCCCCCTCAGGGATATTCCTGCACGGCTTGTAAGCCTCTGGCTGCCCCACTAAAGGCTTGGGCAGTGACTGAGGAAGATTGTATGTTTCATAAACTGAGCACCTTAGTATATGTATATAGTCTTTGTCTAATACTGTTTTCTCAGATTGTCCAATCAACCATTCTTGAAGCCCTGTTTATCAATATTTAAGTAACACATATTGGACATTAATAAAACTTAAGAAATAATCTACAGCATCTTTTATTTTTATTTTGTGGGGATACATTAAACTTTATTTTACAGCTTTGAGTAGTGGTATGACTATTTTCTTGAGTCTAATTGTATAATTATTCTAAAGACTTGGAGATTCATGGTTATTACCTGGCTAATTTAAATGCAGTACAGTACTGTATATTGATTGACAATTATTGTGTGGAGACTTGTGAACCATGTGTGTGGTTGTGTATGAAATTTGTGGTAAGAGGGTGTGTGAGCACATGATGGAGCTCAGCACACTTTCCTCACTGATGTGACCACAAGCATTCTATCACCAACGCATATTCGTTGATAACATAACAAGTACCGTAGACGTTTGCTAATCTGGAGTCCACTGATCCGGAAAACAGGCTTATCTGGGCAAAATCGCCTCTGGATAATGTTATATCCATTTCCGGATGGAATGTCCATAGAATCCGGATGATCGGAGATTTGTCCAGATACAAATAGACAGGCAGAATCTCCAAAACCAAGTGTCAACTTGATGCTAAATATAAAAGGTGAACCTTTACCGCTGAGAGATAAACAAGTGAAATGCCTGGCCTAACACTCGTTTACCACCACCACCAGGAAAGGAGGGAGTCGAGCAGGGAGGGTGGGTGGGCAGACAGACAAGCTGGGAGGCTACAGGCAAGCAGAGCGGCTGGAGTGGGTATCAGGAGTGTGGTGGGTGTCAGGAGTCGGTATGTGTGTGGTGGGTGTAGGCGTTGTGGGTTTTTGAATATCGCATGGGAGGTGGCACATATCGAGGAGTGTGTACTAGAGGTGGCTCGAGCATTAACCCTAGCAAGGGGGGGGTGGCAGTCGGCAAGGGTAGGGTCTCGGTAGGGTGGGAGGGTTGGAGGTGCGCAGTTGTTTAATCATATATATATTTTTCTTTTTGCCGTGGAGAGCTAGTTACGAATTTTAAATAACACACCATAGTATTTGAACAGTATTTGGTTGACTATTTATTCATTTAAATATTTACAAGGATTTAAAGTGGGTTTTAACAGAATTTAAGGTGCATATTATGTTATTGTACAGCAAGTGTTGACACTCGTTGAAGTGAGTTGAGAAAGGCTAGCGTGAGTAGGAGAGGTGAACTGGAAGGAGACGTGTGATCTCTGTCTGTCCAGGGTCATGTCTTGTCTGGCAGTCTGTGGCACACTGTGCAGCTTGACAGCTTGTCTAGCCTGTCAGCATCCTGACAGCCTTTCTTCCCGAAAGAGTTGGGAGGCGGAGAATGAGAGCATGGCATGGGGAAAGAGGGGGAGCATGGAGGTAGTGAGAGCTGGGAGGGGGAGCATGGTATGGGTAGGGAGGGGAAGCATGGAGGTAGTGAGAGCTGGGAGGGGGAGCATGGCATGGGTAGGGAGGGGGAGCATGGCATGGGTAGGGAGGGGGAGCATGGCATGGGTAGGGAGGGGGAGCATGGCATGGGTAGGGAGGGGGAGCATGGCATGGGTAGGGAGGGGGAGCATGGCATGGGTAGGGAGGGGGAGCATGGCATGGGTAGGGAGGGGGAGCATGGCATGGGTAGGGAGGGGGAGCATGGCATGGGTAGGGAGGGGGAGCATGGCATGGGTAGGGAGGGGGAGCATGGCATGGGTAGGGAGGGGGAGCATGGCATGGGTAGGGAGGGGGAGCATGGCATGGGTAGGGAGGGGGAGTATGGCATGGGTAGGGAGGGGGAGCATGGCATGGGTAGGGAGGGGGAGCATGGCATGGGTAGGGAGGGGGAGCATGGCATGGGTAGGGAGGGGGAGCATGGCATGGGTAGGGAGGGGGAGCATGGCATGGGTAGGGAGGGGGAGCATGGCATGGGTAGGGAGGGGGAATGATGGATGGAGGGAGGGGGGGCAAAGATAGGTTGTGGGTATATGGAGGTATGGGTAGGGTCACCAGTCCTCCTGCCTGTATTCACCTAGTTGTGCTTGCGAGGGTTGAGCTCTACTCTTTCGGCCCGCCTCTCGACTGTCAATAAATCAACTTTAACTACAGTATTAACTTTTTTTTTCACACACACACCCAGGGTCAGCCCATAGCAGCTTTCTAACTCCCAGGTACCTACTTACTGCTAGTAACAGGAGCATCAGGGTGAAGGAAACTCAGCCCATTTGTTTTTCCACCGGCGCCGGGAATCGAACCCCGGTTCCTAGGTCCATGAGTCTAGAGTGCTGTCCACTCAGTCAACCCCCTATGGCCTGTGTGGCCTGACCCTGGAATGTGGCCTGTGTGGCCACATGCCCGCCCGCCCGCCATATCCCACCCACCCACCCACCCACCCACCCACCAACCAGCCTGCCCGCCCACTTGACCCTGCCCACCTAACAGCCAGGCAGCCAACCACCCACCCAGCCCCACACACTATCCCTGTGTACAGGAGTCATAGCAGATGTGTAGAAAAAGGCTAACATAGTTCCCGTCTACAAAAGTGGCAGCAGGGAAGACCCTCTCAATTATAGACCTGTATCATTTACAAGTGTAATAGTCAAAATATTGGAAAAAAATATTTAAAACTTAAATGGGTAGAACACCTGGAGTGAAACGATATAATATCAGACAGACATTGGGGTTTTCGATCTTAAGGGGCAGTATTCAGAGGCAATGTATCGAATTGGAGAAATGTCACAAGTGGAGTACCACAGGGTTCAGTTCTTGCACCGGTGATGTTCATTGTCTACATAAATAATCTGCCAAATGAAATACAGAATTATGTGAACATGTTTGCTGATGATGCTAAGATAATAGGAAGGATAAGAAACTTAGATGATTGTCATGCCCTTCAAGAAGACCTGGACATACAGTATATGGAGCACCACTTGGTAAATGGAATTTAATGTGCATAAATGCCATGTTATGGAATGTGGAATAGGAGAATATAGACCCCCACACAACCTATAAATTATGTGGAAAATCTTAGACTTCTGATAAAGAAAGAGATCTAGGGTGGTTCTAGATAGAAAACTATCACCTGATGACCACACAAAGAACGTTGTGTGAGGAGCCTATGCTACGGGGGCCTGACAGCCGAGTGGACAGCGCTTTGGATTCATAGTCCTGAGGTTCTAGGTTCGGTCCCCGTGGGAAACAAATGGCAGCTTTTCTTTCACCATGATGTGCCTGTTCACTTAGCAGTAAATAGGCACCTACGATTTAGACAGCAGCTACAGGCTGCTTCCTGAGGATGTGTAACAAAAAGGAGGCCTGGTCAAGGACCGGGTCGTGGGGATGCTAAACCCCAAAATCATCTCGAGATAACCTCAAGATGTACGCTTTCTAACTTCAGGTATTGCTTTTAATTACATGGATGGCAAAATACTAAAGAAATGGAATTAATTAAAGATAATTCTTCAAAATAATTAAAGAAATTGTTCATGACTTTTGTTAGGCCAAAGCTAGAATATGCAGTAGTTGTATGGTGCCCTTATCTTAAGAAGCACATTAACAAACTGGAAAAGGTGGAAAGACATGCCACTAAGTGGCTCCCAGAACTGAAGGGCAAAAGCTACGAGAAGAGGTTAGAGGCATTAAATATGCCGAAACTAGAAGATAGAAGAAAAAGAGCCGATATGATCACTACGTACAAGATAGTAACAGGAATCGATAAAATTGATAGGGAAGACTTCCTGAGACCCGGAACTTCAAGAACAAGAGGTCATAGATTTAAACTAACTAAACAAAGCTGCCGAAGAAATATAAGAAAATTCACTTTTTTGCAAACAGAGTGGTGCTTCTACAGTATTTCTACTTTCTCTCATTCTTTGCTCTTGTTTATACAGGTACTAGCTCTTCTCTTTTTACAATTAACTGTACATCTTCAGGATATTCTATTAACTTTTGGCTCTTATAACTTTCTTCTCCTCTGATGTTTCTTGATTTTGCTTTTTGTTTTTAAATTTTGTCACTGAATTTTCTTGGTCATACAGTATTTTGACATTTCATTTTCTCTAATTTCACCACCTTTGCAAGTACTGTACAGAACTTTTATCAAGTTTTCTGTAGTGCACTCTTTCTTCACATCTTATTATAATAATAATAAGCATAGTTATTAGTGTGTCCTTCATTCAGAAATTGGTTTAACATTATACAAAATCTCTTGCCTTTTTATTTTCTCCTTTCTCTGTTTATTAAATTAAACTCTCTCTACTTTTCACTTTATTTTTTTTTTAATTCAGTACAGTACTATGCCATTCTAGAAGAATGTGGCAAATATCAATACAGTATATGATGATTAGTCAGTCTTATATTGAATTCCTTTTAAAGTGTTATTGAATCTGTATTTTTATTCTGCTTTGAAAGTTAGGTGTTCCAGTATAATGTATTAAATTCTTATTATTTTACTCCACAGCTTGCAGGGTGGTGGCAGCATGTATGGAAGGCGGGGTAGTGGTAAGACAGTTAATAATTATACCTGTATACATTATTTTTTGTCCTTGTGTACTGATGGACCCAAATGAAATGTTAACTTATCTAGATGTTTGGAATCTAAAGGCAGCCTCCAGCCAAATTGGTAAAAGAAAGTACAGTAGTGAAGGTTTAATAATTTATAATTTCTGTCATACCTTTGCTGAGCTCCCAACTAAGGGTATTTATTCTGAGATTGTAGTTTACTTATGCTACTTTAAAATTCCCATTATCACAGTCTCCGTGGTGTAGTGGTAAGACACTCGCCTGGCGTTCCGCGAGCGCTATGTCATGGGTTCATATCCTGGCCGGGGAGGATTTACTGGGTGCAATTCCTTAACTGTAGCCTCTGTTTAACGCAACAGTAAAATGTGTACTTGGATGAAAAAACGATTCTTCGCGGCAGGGGATCGTATTCCAGGGACCTGCCCGAAACGCTACGCGTACTAGTGACTATACAAGAATGTAACAACTCTTGTATATATCTCAAAAAAAAAAAAAAAAAATATATATATATATATATATATATATATATATATATATATATATATATATATATATATATATATATATATATATATATATATATATATATATATATATATATTTATTTATATATTTATATATATATTTATATATTTATATATTTATATATTTATTTATTTATTTATTTATTTATTTATTTATTTATTTATTTATTTATTTATTTTGGTAGCAGTCTTTCCTGTAGACATATATTATTAAATATGACCGAAAAAGTAAGATTAATAATTCTAACACGAATTTTCTCAATCTTTCGTACATTTCTTTTCACTGTTGGAGGTAAATCAAAAATCAATTCTCCAAAATTCATTTTTATTTCTAGTCTGACGCGACACGAGCGCGTTTCGTAAAACTTATTACATTTTCAAAGACTTTAGTTCACAAATACACAACTGAATAGAACTTACGCATCTCCGATTTTATATCTACATTTGAGTGAGGTGGAAGGGGTGATGTGGCATTAACACAAGACAGAACAAGATGTGGTATTAATAGGGTATTAATTTCATCAACACAAGACAGAACACGAAACAATGGATATTGAATAGAAGTGTTTGTAGAAAGCCTATTGGTCCATATTTCTTGATGCTTCTATATTGGAGCGGAGTCTTGAGGTGGGTAGAATATAGTTGTGCAATAATTGGCTGTTGATTGCTGGTGTTGACTTCTTGATGTGTAGTGCCTCGCAAACGTCAAGCCGCCTGCTATCGCTGTATCTATCGATGATTTCTGTGTTGTTTACTAGGATTTCTCTGGCGATGGTTTGGTTGTGGGAAGAGATTATATGTTCCTTAATGGAGCCCTGTTGCTTATGCATCGTTAAACGCCTAGAAAGAGATGTTGTTGTCTTGCCTATATACTGGGTTTTTTGGAGCTTGAATTTTGGAGAATTGATTTTTTATTTACCTCCAACAGTGAAGCGTAATGTACGAAAGATTGAGAAAATTCGTGTTAGAATTATTAATCTTACTTTTTCGGTCATATATTAATATATATATATATATATATATATATATATATATATATATATATATATATATATATATATATATATATATATATATATATATATATATATATATATATATATATATATATATATATATATATATATATATATATATATATATATATATATATATATATATATATATATATTATATATATATATATATATGTATATATATATATATATATATATATATATATATATATATATATATATATATATATATATATATATATATATATATATATATATATATATATATATATATATATATATATATATATATATATATATATATATATATATATATATATATATATATATATATATATATATATTATATATATATATATATATAATAATAATAATAGTAATGTATTAGTTTATTGTAATAATTTACAGTTGCAGTTGAAGTCAATTTTTAATTATGCTTTAACCTTGAATTGTCATACACAGGAAACTACCAAGATGGTGGAAGCAGAGGTGGAGGAGGATGGCGAGGTGATAAATATAGAAGAGGAGGAAGAGGTGGTGGTGATGGTGGTGGAAGAGGAAGAGGAGGTGGAAAGGGTGGAAGGGGAGGCAGTAGAGGAGGTCCTCCACCTGGACTTCGGGGCAAGGAAATTGGTAATTAAGAACATTTCTTTATATGTAATTACAGTACTGTATTTCTTTCAATTAAGTTTTATGGTCTTTTAATTGATGGGAAAATTATCTATTCTGAATATACAGTAGAACCTCGAGTGACAACCGCCTCAAATGGCGACCAATTTGGGTAACGAACGCCCTGATCGCCAACAATTCGTCTCGTTAGGCGACCGCTCGTATGAATAATGTCATTACCAAATGGTGTGAATCGTGGGCTGCTTCTCGCACATTCTTGGATGCCTCTGACGATGCACATAAATTATTTTTCTTTGTTTAAAGATGCTATTGATGCTTGGATGTTGCAAAGCATTGACTTTTTTGTAGAAAAACGAAATGAATTTTTTTAAAGAAAGAACAAATGTCAAAAAGGTTTGTTCAGTGTTTGTCGGGTAGGCTGCTCCATTATTGAGAAATAAATAAAAATTACAAAACAAATGGAACTCATTTGAAATAAAGATTGTCATTATGGAACAGCTTACTCGACAAACACTGAACGAACCTTTATGGCATTTGTCCGTTTTTCAAATTGTTTCAACTTTTTTTTTTTTTTTTTTTAAGAAATATGGAGCAGCTTGCCTACCGAACGAACCTTTTTGACATTTGTTCTGTTTTCAAGATTATTTTTTTTCATTATTTTTTTTTTTTAAGAAACATGGAGCAGCCTACCTGACAAACAACGAACAAACTTTTTGCTATGCAAGAAATGAAAAAACAAAGTGAACAAATTTGTAGAAAGAAAAGTCATAAAGGTTTGTTCAGTGCATGTAAGGTAGGGTGCTCCATTATTTAAAACATCGAATATCATATTGATGTTTTTTGGTGGTAGAACGGATTATTTATATTTACATTCTTTTCAATCGGGAACTTTGTTTTGAATGGCGTCAGTTTCACATGACAACCATGGTGCCGGAACGGCACCATGGATGACCATGTGTCTGGTGGTCTGTTAAGTCTTGGCACATTTTAACTCTTAGAATTGGGTTCTCATAAATCCCTTGCATTACCAATTTTTAAAATTTCTGTGGCTAATATTACCTAATAAATAGATGAGGCTTATTATTATACATATGAAGGTATTAATTATAATAATTTTGAAGCATATGGCATCATAGTCATATGATGCCATATGCTTATGCCATATGATGCTTTTTAATGCCAAAAAATATTTAAGCAAAATGTTAAGTTTGGTATTTTTGGGAGGTTACTTTGCGATGATTTCGGGGCTCAACGTCCCCGCGGCCTGGTCCCCGACCAGGCCTCCTTGCCTCCAGGGAGGGCGCCATTGGCGGCTTCCTGTTGCTAGCTGCCTAGGTAGCTCAATATTTACCTTGCTACACCAAGCTCTTTGAGTCACTGAAAGCCTACTGGAGACCAGAGGTCAAAACCTACCACCCCTACCTCGCAGGCACAGAGAGCTAGGAATGCTAGATTACTCTAACCAAGAAAATAGTCACTGGAAAGGTAGAGCAAGACAAAACAGACAACAGCAAGTTAAATTTACTAGATCCTAGTCCCATAAGTCATAGGCCTTTTGGGTCGGTTCCCATGACTTAAGATGAAGTTGGTCAGTCCTTCCCCCTTTTCTTGGGGCCAGAACTTTGGGGCCCGGTATCGCTCCTGGATGTGTGCCTGGTTATTGCTGGTTGGTTTGCCTCGGGTGTAGTTGAGGTGACTTTGTCCCTTCAGTGGGTGTTCCCAGTCCTACAGGTCCACTTAGTGGACCTTTAGGACTGTTCAATATATACGGACCTATAGTACCATACAATATCGATCATTCAGGTTTGAACACCTTCATACCCTGTTCAACCTTTCACATGACCACCTTGGCTCAAGTGTGCCTGGTTTTACAGGCTGGAGCTTGGATGATATCCCTAGACCACAAGAATGCTTAGTGGCATGGGACCATTTCCTAACCACAAAACTCGCTAAGTTTTGTGTTTTCATCAGGCTTTCTGCTTCAAGGTTCTTTTAGTTTGAATCTGACTCTCCATGTCTTTACCAGGTTGGCATATGATTGTGGCCTGGCTGCATGCTTTAGGGATTTGTGTATTGGCCTACCTTGACTGGCTGGTTTGAGCTCCCAGTCGGTCTGTGTGTCAGATGGCCAGGGCTCTGGTTTTATCCCATGTCGCCAAGTTCAGGTTCCTGGTGGATATCCCAGTTGGTTCCATTCCAGGTTTGGACTTGGCTGTCCCTCGCTTGGGACTCTTGGCTGGCTTCTTTGTCCCTGCCTTTGGTGGTTTTACACTGTATGCACCTTCATTGGCGGGTATTGAATCGGCCCTGGGTGACTCGCCAGTTAGTAGAGCAGTTGTTCTGGTTTCGTCTGTTTCTTTGCTTTCGGGACCAGCGGGTTCAGACCCTGTTTGCCATTCATCGGCTCTTGTCTCACTAGCTTCATCTTCAGGCTTGTCACCATTCAGTTGTGGTACCATCCTCTTCTGTCACTCAATGTGTTCATGAACGCTTCAGCTCTGGGTTCGTCCTTCGTGACCAGTGCTCACCAGGCTTCTTAAGGTCGGTGGTCTGGCCCGTTCCTTCATCTGCTCTGTTACAGTACATGAATTTGCAACGGTGTGGCATACTTTGAGAAGGATTTGACTTCCTCTAGGCTCCTTGCTCTGGTTCCACTCCAATAGGTCCTCTGTGGTTTGTTTCCTAAACTGAAGGTAGGGTGTACTTCACTGGTTTGACCTTGTCCTCTGCCATATGCATCTGCCATTTGTACTCTGAGCAGGTGGCTGGTTTGTTATTGTCCCACCTGCTTCTTTTCTTGCGATGGTAGTACCAGATAGCATGGTGCTTATTTTGCCACTATCTGTCTCATCTTCATTTTTCGTTTTTGGCCAAAGCTGTCCTGTCTTTTTTGTCTTGGGTGGTTCTAAATTGGTATCTCATTCCTAATACTGTTGCCTCTTATTGTATGGTGTTGGCAAAATCATTGTGGCTCTTCTTTAACTTCGACTCTACCTCAGTGCCATTCCACAAGTTGTCTCGTGCATTTTTTCATATACAGCCAGTTCATGCTTCTCATGAGCTGTCCTGCTCTCTTGACCAAGTGTTGATCCTTGTTTTACAGTTACCCTTCAGCTTGTGATATATTTCTCGAGCTCTCTTTATTCGCTCTTGTCTCCGGCTGAAGGGTTGGAAGCTTCAGACTCTTCTCTGGAAGTTGGGGGTTTGTTCCTTTGGCCCTGGTGGCTGGTTTGTTCTTTTTCAGTCATCTTCTTTTCTGGTAAAGAATTAGTTGGCTAACTTTCAGAGGTATTCATTGGCAATTGATGCTTGCTTGGTCTGGTGGGGGGTTTCATCATTTGTTGTGTTCAATTCTTGCTCTTCACTGCTACCTGTGGATCACTGGTTTATGCCTTGGTGGGTGTATGCCTTGTTGATTGACCTGTTTCCTTGGTTTCCCCTTTTCCAAGGCTCGTACTTTCCAGGTTGTCTGCAGTTACATAAAACCTAGCCAACCTACGGTCTTCCCTCGGGGCCCATAATGTTTTCAAGTATGCTGTATTGCTGCAGTTTTCCCCAACATATTCTGGGTTCATATTCGGGGTAGGGGATTTTGGCGTTCTAACAGGGTTCTGGCAGCCTAGTAATGTATTTGGTCAGTGTCATTGGTCCCAGTTGATTATTTGTTGCCTTGTGCTGAGTCTCCTGGCTTGGATTTTTTATTCTAGTGCGTGTCGCCTTTTCTCCCTGGTAAGTATCATATTTTATTCTGTGGCTAGTTAGCCAGAGAACAGTCAGGGAGCCAGTGGAGGTTTCCCACTGGCTTCCTGAAGCACTAATGAAACTCAGCATTGAATGTAATGAAATGTCGTTCTGGATGAGCCCCAATGGGTCCCTCACTTCCTCTCTACAAGGTTAGTAAGTTTTTCTGTGGGCTGTGCATCAATTTCAGAACTGAGTACAGAAGATGGCTGCATGCAAAAGCTGGGACAGTTGGTGGTGGGATTCGGTACTATGAGTTTTACACTAATTTTGAATGTTACTCTTGTTATGTGAATTGTTTGTGGAATCGTATGGCAATTTGAAGGCTTAGTTCTCCAGTTGTCTATTTAGTTTCACTGACTTTCTGAATGCTTTCCCCAGTGTGATGGCAAATTGTCACTCACTCTTTGCACTCCTGTAAGGGGGGCCCAAGTTTTGATTGGTCCCCTGGTAAACAAAACAGAACTCTTGCATTTCATGTGTCGCATTTGCCTAGAGCAATCTTAGTTAGATAACTTTAGGGAGTCATTGAGGCTCCTCCAGAAAGAAGCATTTCATATATTCAATGCTGTTTTTTTTTCTGTTGTGTATAAGTATGTCTGTTTTAGACTTGTGGAGCAGCCTAATGATTATGCTTAGAAATGTACATTTCATATAAACTCAAAACCATGTTTTAATATAAAAATATGTCCAATGAAACATGATTAGTTTTGCTGAGTTACAGACATTGCCTCATTATTTTCTGATATGAGTTTATTCTTAATGTTTCAAAATACTTTAAAGTTTCTTTAATTTTGCATGGAACATTTTGTGGCACTTTTTGTCAACTGTTCTTTGATTAGTGGTATCAATTAAAACTGCATCTAGTAGTGCAGTTGTTGGCACAGTCAGGTCAACCACAAAAGTATGTTTTATTTCTCTTGATACCTTCATTCACCTAACAGTAAATTTGGTACCCAGGAGTTAAGCAACTGTTGTGGGATGTGTCTAGGGAAGGGTCAATAGTTGGCCTAGGGGGACCTTGATAAGCCTAAACAGGCTTCCTGTTCCTGGCTGTGGGAAACCATTCAAGTGAGACACCACCATTTAGTGTATAGATAAGATCTGATATACTCATTTAAAGTAATAGAGTATTGATTTGCACATAGTCACATTAATGTGATGTATACAAGGAGAAAATCAGTTGAAGCTTTTTGCCTGGGGGTATCCAGTGCATAGTTTCAAATCTGCCTCATGGTTCCTACTGATTTTTCAAAAGTATTGATTGTTAGTTAAATAGAATTTTAAACCTTCCTAGAAGTTAGCAAGATCTCTCTCAAACTTCAGAAGGGAATATTTCTAAATTATTAGTTTTTATCATTAAGGTCTGTGGTACGCTCGACAGTCTCGGGAACGGCAAGAGAAAGATGAGCGCTACTTACCATCTATCTCTATGAATGCTAGCCAAGTCAGAGATGTAGGTCGTATGTTGGACTCCTTTGATGGTGGAAATAATTCTACCAAAAATGTCTCAAGCTTGGAAGGTGCATGTTCGACCGCACTTCCCTCGGATGATCTGGGACAGGAATGGGATCATCGTATATCATTTATTATGAAACAAGAATTTGATGAAGGTAAGATATAAGTTTTAAGATTCAAGGTAATTTGATAGTGGGTTATGACAGTTGGCTGTGTTAAGGGCACCTCAAGGTAATGGTTATGACAGTTGGCCATGTCAAGGGCACCTCAATATAGTGGTTATGACAGTTGGCCGTGTCAAGGGCACCTCAATATAGTGGTTATGACAGTTGGCCGTGTCAAGGGCACCTCAATATAGTGGTTATGACAGTTGGCCGTGTCAAGGGCACCTCAATATAGTGGTTATGACAGTTGGCCGTGTCAAGGGCACCTCAATATAGTGGTCATGACAGTTGGCCGTGTCAAGGGCACCTCAAGGTAATGGTTATGACAGTTGGCCGTGTCAAGGGCACCTCAAGGTAATGGTTATGACAGTTGGCCGTGTCAAGGGCACCTCAATATAGTGGTTATGACAGTTGGCCGTGTCAAGGGCACCTCAATATAGTGGTTATGACAGTTGGCCGTGTCAAGGGCACCTCAAGGTAATGGTTATGACAGTTGGCCGTGTCAAGGGCACCTCAATATAGTGGTTATGACAGTTGGCCGTGTCAAGGGCACCTCAATATAGTGGTTATGACAGTTGGCCGTGTCAAGGGCACCTCAAGGTAATGGTTATGACAGTTGGCCATGTCATGGGTACGTCAGAGAAGCAGTAATGGTTATGACTTTTGGCTGTTATAGTTACCTCAGAGAATGCTAAGCACTTCCATATATTTCCTTCATACTTGACATTTTGGTACTTAACCACCGTGCTGCGCCGAGTTTATTGTGAAATTCCCCCTGTGCGCATGAAATAAAGTGTTCCCAAAAAATTCCTTTTTCTTCGTAAAATGATAAATTCCCTTCCCTGAACATGTCTATGTAAAAATAAATACCAAATTCCACATACTTTGGCTGTGGGGGACGTGGACAAGGTCCACTGTGACGTCATCAGGGCCTGGTCGCCCATGCATGAATCGCCCAGACACGGTCGCACGGTCCATTCAAGCACCGGGTGTTGCCACAAATATATTTTAAATTATTTGTTCTATGTATTTCCAATGCGGTTTTATTTGTTTTTTTATCGTATATGATGCATATTTGTGTCCTTTACAATATGTATACAGTAGAACGTTCATAATGTTCTATGGAACTGTGATACATGTGTCAGTAATGTGTCCACAATAAATGTTTATTGTTGCAATATTGCTTGTTAAAAATTCACTAAAATTACAATATGTACAGTTTCACACACTTTACACAGTAACACACTGTATTACACACTCAGTACTTCGGAAGTGAGTACTGTAATAATCAACGAAGTAGTCCAAGGTGCACAGCACAACTTTGCTCTCGTTGCACCAGGTACAGATAAATTTTTGCTTCCTGTTTCTTCATTCTGTGTGCTTGCAAATAACACACTCGCGTACACCCTTGGCTTTGGTACTTGTAGGTTGTATGTAGCCAAGCTTGTAAAGCATAAGGTAGTTTTGAAAAGATTATAGGAAAAGATCAATTTGTAAGGTAGTCTTGAAAAGATCGCTTTGTATGGTTCCAGGAAGAGATTCAGCTTGCCTCAAAGAGTGCCCATCAGTCAGGAAGAGATTCAGGTATTCTTTAAAAATATCTATGGAAAATACCACCAGGAAAGCCGCTAACACTGTTCAGCTATGCTACTTGTATCGGATGCATCATCACTGAACGCAGAAAACGCTTAGAGCTACAACTGGGTACGCTCGCTGAATCGTCCTCATAGGTGCTGTGTCGCTTGCATCCGACCTTTGTGTTAGGTCCTTATTGTGCCTAGCTTCACCAATATTATGACCCTTATGTTCTTCAAACAATAAGGTTTGAATTTTACCGACAGAGCGTTATCTCTCAACACCACGTTGGACATTTGTTTGGGAGCCAGAGGCGCGTGCGCCACCCATGGTTGCTCATTCAGTACTTACCCAGCCAGCAGGCCTAGGGCATTCTGGGAATTTTTTCTAAGATGGCTGACTCTCACTGACACACATTTAGAATAGGTACGGAAAAATCAAAGAGTTTCCTTGGTTGGCGCAGTTTTCCTCCGACCGAGAATACTTGGTTGGTGCAGTTAAGTGGTTAATGGTGTAACTGGGAAGAGAGTTGTAATGTGAAAAAGAAGTGAATGTAGAGTAAACAAATCCCTGTAATTAGGCTGAGCTAAAAAAATCAAAACTTTCTCTTGGTAGATGACACAGGTGGTGAGAACAGTGGTGAAGGGTTTGAAGGCGAGATCGACCACTTCTCCAACCCAGATGCATGGATACACGACACAACACAAAAACGTAAAGGTATATCAGGTATGCGCCATAGTTATAAGCAAACATTGGTCATTATTTGTCTTTTAAATTCTACTTTAAATAAATAATTGAAGCATTGCAGTATCACCTATTAATTTAGTTTATTTCTTGTGTGTGTTTTTCCAATATTTAAAGGAATGTGTTATTCAGAATTTCTGGGGGTGCCCCTTGGGGTTCCCTGAAGCTGTCTTGTTGATATGGCTCCCAACTTCATGGTCACATCAGTTGTGGAGTTCTGTTTAGCCTACTGGGGACCAGAGCCAGAACCTGGTCCCAATAGACCACTGCTGGGTTCAAAGAGACCAAAACCTCAAACTGCCAAACAAAGTTTCCCAAATAATTGAATCTCTCAAAACTAGCAGCTCATCAGCACTAACCCAGTCCCCCTGCAGCCCGTCTTCATAAACAAAGGCCAAAGTCCATTCCATGCACCCACCAAACCCCGTTTATGACTGGAAAACGGTTTACACATGACTCGACTGATGAAGTTCGAACAATTCTCGAACAAGTACTTCGCTGATGACTTTTGTTCGAAACACAACGCTCTAAATGCTTCACACACTTTAAGCAGAGTGGTAGATGGTTGGAACAAGTTAGGTGAGAAGGTGGTGGAGGCCAAGACCATCAGTAGTTTCAAAGCGTTATATGACAAAGAGTGCTGGGAAGACGGGACACCATGAACGTAGCTCTCATCCTGTAACTACACTTAGGTAATTACACTTGGGTAATTACACATACTACAAATACAAATAATCGCCAGCAGAGCCTAAACACCTAACCTAACGCCATCTAATTAATTATTTTATCCTAAACACCTAACCTAACGCTGCCATCTGGTTTTCGACTTGTGTCCAGGGAGCAGGTCTTGTTGGTTTTCCAGAAGGGGTAGGGCCTCGCCTGATTTTGGTCGAGGTGGGTCATTTGTGGTGCTGGCAGCTGCATCTGACTTGTTTCCTCCAGCTTTTCCTTCGGCTGGTAGGCACCGTGCTCACTTTGTTTGAAGGGCTGGCTCTCGTGGTTCGCATGGTTCATAGAAGGCTGGCTCTATTTGCCTGCGCTTGGTCCTGAGTTGGTCCCATGATTTGTGGGCATTTTCAGGTCGTCTCAAGTGGTCTGTGGTGGCTTTGGGAGGTCCTTTCTTCTTTGGGGTGGAGGGGGTCTGATGGGGAAGGCTTCTTCTCCTTCTCTCCATTGAGTCATCTTGGAGTGGGTGTATATAGGCATGGTCGAAATGACCTCGTCTCTTCGGTGGGTTTTTCGTCTTTTTCCAATCCCAAAACAAGATTGTCCGGATCTTCGGTACATTCTGGATTTGCTTCATCTGAACCGGTTGATTCCTTGACCCTCTTTTCGGATGATTACATTGTCCTAGATCCGTCGCTTACTCGAGCCTGGCGTTTGGATGATTTCCCTGGACCTTAACCCTTAAATGGCACAAAACATTCATACCTGTACTGTATATGATTGGACCTAACATCAGTTTCTTAAACTTGCACAAATATTTTCCAATTTTTTGTGCATAATCAACTAGCAAATGTTCCAACTTTGTATAAATGATCACCAACATAACTTGAAAGACAAGAAAATATAAAATATTTTAAAAATTGAATATTGAAAAACTTAAGATTTTCAAATCGGATTAAAAAATATAAAATATCATCAATTGTTCATTTGGTGTTATTATTCTCTCAGAATATCATATGATTTTCATTTTCATCAAATTAGAATACAGGTTTTCAGTATTGTTTACTGTAAAAAAAAATCGTCAATATGGCCTTTGAAATATGCGGCAAATTTGACAAAAAAATTGATAACTCCAAATGTTTAGGGTTTATGAAAAATTCATTTTATAGGGATTGTCGAAGTGTGCAGCGTGCACACTATATGTAAAAATGGTGAGAATCGGTCAGAATCTTGATTTTTTTATCTGACTCAAAGTTGAAATTCTAGTTTTAGATATACTGTAATTGAAGTTGAAGTTATCAACAATGAATAAGGTAGTTCTAATTCATTAATTTACTTGTATGCCTTAATAAACATTGTTTGCATTCGTAATCGAATATGTGAAAGTTGTAGGTCAATGTGTGTTCAAATGAAGTCGAGACAAAATACCCTCCACCCTAAAAAAAAAATGGATAATTATAATAATTTAGGGGATATATTTAGCCTATGTGTTTTATAGATGTAGATTTAAACAAATGAGATGACATATTAAAGATGTTGATGTTATCAAATGTTGATGTTGCAGAGGGTGATCAAGAGAAGAGGCCTCGGGGGGAAACCTTGGCTCGAAGACTGGACAATATTGGTGAATCAGACTTTAAACAAGCCTATATGGCAAATGTTCATGGAAATCAGGTTAGTAAAGTTTATTTTATGTAACTTCATTTTGTGTGTTTGTAGGTTGAACAATTGAAGGTTGTAGGTTGAACACTTGGCTTTGTTCACACATAGAATCACTGCATTTTCACTGTAGCACGCTAAATGGTGGTCACTCACTGTAGCACGCTAAGTGGTGGTCACTCTCACTGTAGCACGCTAAGTGGTGGTCACTCTCACTGTAGCACGCTAAGTGGTGGTCACTCTCACTGTAGCACACTAAGTGGTGGTCACTCTCACTGTAGCACGCTAAGTGGTGGTCACTCTCACTGTAGCACGCTAAGTGGTGGTCACTCTCACTGTAGCACGCTAAGTGGTGGTCACACTCACTGTAGCACGCTAAGTGGTGGTCACTCTCACTGTAGCACGCTAAGTGGTGGTCACTCTCACTGTAGCACGCTAAGTGGTGGTCACTCTCACTGTAGCACGCTAAGTGGTGGTCACTCTCACTGTAGCACGCTAAGTGGTGGTCACTCTCACTGTAGCACGCTAAGTGGTGGTCACTCTCACTGTAGCACGCTAAGTGGTGGTCACTCTCACTGTAGCACGCTAAGTGGTGGTCACTCTCACTGTAGCACGCTAAGTGGTGGTCACTCTCACTGTAGCACGCTAAGTGGTGGTCACTCTCACTGTAGCACGCTAAGTGGTGGTCACTCTCACTGTAGCACGCTAAGTGGTGGTCACTCTCACTGTAGCATGGGCTAAGTGGGTGGGGTGAGGTCACTGGAGGGGGAAGGCTGGGTGGGGTGAGGTCATGGAGGGGGAAGGCTGGGCGGGGTGAGGTCATGGAAGTGAAGGCTGGGTGGTGCAATTACCTAAGTGTAGTTACAGGATGAGAGCTACGCACATGGTGTCCTGTCTCCCCAGCACACTTTGTCATATAACGCTTTGAAATTACTGACAGTTTTGACCACCACCACCACCTCACCTAACTTGTTCCAACCATCTACCACTCTGTTTGCATAAGTGAATTTTTCTTGTATTTCTCCGGCAGCTTTGTTTCGTTAGTTTAAATCTTTGACCTCTTGTTCTTGAAGTTCCAGGAATACTTCCCTATCAATTTTATCGATTCTTGTCACTATTTTGTACGTAGTGATCATATCGCCTCTTTTTCTTCTATCTTCTAGTTTTTTTGCATATTTAACGCATCAAACCTCTCCTCGTAGCTCTTGTCATTCAGTTCTGGGAGCCACTTAGTGGTATCTCTTTGCACCTTCTCCAGTTTGTTGATGTGCTGCTTGTTACCTAGCTAGTTCGCACAGCTCGTGTATCAATGGACAGTGATAAAAAATAGTCTAGGATAAGTTCACTATCTTTAAAAGTAATACACCAGAGTGCCCCTATGTAAGACAAACAAGTATAATTAAAAAGATCAGGATAAATAAACATGTACATATAAAATATATATAATAACAAATAATTCAAAAATATATGCAAGTTCTCGATATAACAAATAAGTATTCACTTCAATATCACTAGAGAATAAGATGGCTTATAAATACATGGAAAAATAGTCTCACCAGAGTAATTAATCTACCCCATGGAACAATAAAACAGTACATAAACTTATCGTGACACAATGTTCCCAGACTGAATGTCTCCTCACTACTGACTAGCTCATGGCGCACAGCCCACAACCCCCCCTTCCCCCTTTCTCCTAGACAGAGGAGATGTCAAACGAGTACTATATTTTACCCAAATAAATAAATGAGAAAAGTAATTGTGCCAATACAGACATAAACTAGAATAAAATATATTTTGCAACATGCAAATGACATTACTAAAAGTACAAGAAGTTTATCAAAGTTAAATAATAATAGCATGAATATTATAAGAGGTGACATCTGGCAATTCAACAAGTGAACACGTACATATTCTTGATCCAAAAGCTGACCAGACATAGAAAGGTATTAAACAGGTGAACATAGCATGCCTGCTCCTTCCCCCAACTGTGTTGCCAAGTCCAACTCAATACTCAAAAAAAAAAAAAAACATACACATATATATGAACAAATTATATTCCACAATTTATCTTACCTGAAATATTAAGAGTATCCATAACTAGGGATACGTAACACTTCTTAGGATATGGGCACCATACAACAGCTGCATATTCCAGCTTTGGTCTAACAAAAGTCGTGAACATTTTCTTTAGTATTTCACCATCCATGTATGTATTTAAAAGCAATTCTAAAATTAGAAAGTGTAGCATACGCTCCTCGCACAATGCTCTTAATGAGGTCCTCAGGTGACAGTTTTCTATCTAGAACCACCCCTAGATCTCTTTCTTTGTCAGAATTCTTTAAAGATTTCTTACATAATTTATAGGTTGTGTGGGGGTCTATGTTCTCCAATTCCACATTCCATAACATGGCATTTATTCATATTAATTTCCATTTGCGAAGTGGTGCTCCATATACTTATTTTGTCCAGGTCTTCTTGAAGGGCATGACAATCATCTAAGTTTCTTATCTTCCCTATCATCATATCATCATCAGCAAACTTGTTCATATAATTCTGTATTCCATCTGGTAGATCGTTTATGTAGACAATGAACATTACCAGTGCAAGAACTGAACCCTGTGGTAACTCCACATGTGACATCAATCCAATCCGATACATTGCCTCTGATTACGGCCTTCGTTTTTCTATCAGTTAGGAAATTTTTCATCCATGTTAGAAGCTTACCTGTCACCCCCTCTATATGTTACATTTTTCAGAACAACCTCTTATGTGGATTTCTGTCAAAAGCCTTTTTTAAGTCCAGATAGATGTTCTTTCCTGTAAAATTTCTGTGGCTCGATCATAGAAACTAAGTAAATTCATTACACTGAATTTTCCAGATCGAAAACCATACTGTCTGTCTGATGTTGTATCGTTTTTCTCCAGGTGTTTTACCATTAAGTTTTAATTATTTTTTCCAATATTTGGACTATTACACTTGTCATTGACACAGATGTATAATTGAGGGGTTCTTCCCCTTCCCTGCTGCCACTTTTGTAGATTGGAACTATGTTAGCCTTTTTCCACTCATCAGCTACAACTCCTGTACACAGGGATGCCTTAAAAATCAGTTGAAGTGGAATGCTGAGCTCAGGTGCACAGTCTCTCAGAACCCATGGTGAAACTCCATCTGGACCAACTGCTTTATTCTTACTTAGCTCCCTGAGCGTTTTTTCCACTATCTCTAGACACCCCTCTGATGTTCTCTAGAATTCTTATTGTCTGGTTCTTCTGAAAATTTAATTTTTTACAAACACACTTTGGAACGTTTCGTTTAATGTTTCACACATTTCCTTTTCATTTTCTGTTATCCTGTTTCCCATTTTTAACCTCTGAATATTATCCTTTACCTGCAAATTGTTGTTTATGAATTTATAGAATAGACCTGGTTCTGTTTTACATTTGTCCGCAATCCTTTTTCTAAAATTTCTTTCTGCCTCTCTCCTCGCTGCCGTGTAGTTGTTTCTCGCATCTTTGTATTGCTGATATGTTTGGGGGTTTGGCCTTTTCCTATATTGATTCCATTTTTATGATTTTTGTCTCTGGCCCTCTCACAATTTCTGTTGAACCAATCCTGTTTCCTAGTCCTGCATCTCTGCTTTGGTATAAATTTTTTTGTGCCTTTATCATATATTTCACAAATCTTGACATCTCATTTACTTCGTGTCCTAATAGCAAATCTTTCCAGTCAAATTCCTTAAAGAAATGTTCGAGCTCCCCATAATGACTCCTCCTGAAATCAGGTTTTTCAACTGCTTCAACCTCATTTTCTTCCTGATTATAATGCGTTGCATACTTATTCCCAAAAAGACATGGTCACTTTTACCCAAGGGAAGAGGGCACTGAAATGTCAAATATCTCTTCCTCTTTCCTGGTAAATATAAAATTCCTAATTAGGTCATGGAGTTCCTGGTCTAATTCCTAAAGTGTGGGTCATAGAGGTGAAGGCTGGGTGGGTTGAGGTCAGGGAGGTGATGGTGGGATGGGGTGAGGTCAGGAAGGTGATGGTGAGGTGGGTTGAGATGAGGGAGGTGATGGTGGGATGGGGTGAGGTCAGGAAGGTGATGGTGAGGTGGGTTGAGGTCAGGAAGGTGATGGTGGGTTGAGGTCAGGAAGGTGATGGTGGGTTGAGGTCAGGAAGGTGATGGTGAGGTGGGTTGAGGTCAGGTATTTTCTGGGGGGAGCCCCTTCGGCTCCCTGAGCTTACTAGGCTGATTTGCTAATGTCAGAATTTGGCATCAGTCATGTGTATGGGGTTCTGTGGGACCACGAGCCAGAACCTGGCCCCCTCAGAGAGGCATGGGGAGCAATGACCTATAGAAACCCCCGTGTGGTTGGAAGCATTCTATGTCTGCCTTCGACCGGGTCAGACACCCAGAAAGGTAAGCAGCCCAAAACAAACCCCTATTCTGGTGAAATTATTGCTACCAAAAGCCGAACAAGTGGATAGAACTCCCCTGAAAGAAACAAGCAAACAATCGTGACGTCACATGTTGCCGCGCTGCTGTCTGTGCAGCTCCCCCTCCCCGGGAGGGGGCAGGGAGAGCCCTGGACCCCTCACGCCGGCTATCCACCCGTCAGTTCTTCTAAAGGCTGAGGCGGTGGTTGTTTCAGCACTGTACCTACCCAAGGCTGAGAGTTACGTCGTGGTGTGTGCTCTTTGGCTCCTGACGTGGTTGTTTCAGCACTGTACCTAGTGTGGTGACTGTCTTCTAGGTGGTGAGTGAGCCGGGAGTGATTCTCCAGTACTCGGGCTGCATGCGCCTAGGGTTTCCTTCCCTAGGTGCCCTGTAACTATTGCCCTTGGGGCTTGGGGCCACCTTCCACAAGTTCCTTGGGCTCTGCCCCTGCTTGGCTGTTTACTGTTTGGTTTTTGGCCGCCCTTTGTGTGCTAGGGTGTTCTGTCTCCCTTGTTGCCCTTGGGGTAGGGGGGAGTTTGCACTGGTAGGGGCACAGGGTACTGCGCAGCTTGTTTT